GTCTTCGTACTTGGAGCGAATGGTTTCCCAGTCCTGTCCAGCTGCATATTTGGCTGTTTTGTAGTCCAAGACAATTTTCAACAATAGTGCAGTTTCTTCTTCTGTCCAAACGAAAAGTTTCTTGGTAATGTTTGTTGCTGCCATGTTGATAAAAATTGTCGTAATCGAGTCGAATGATGCGATTTACAAGTTTTGGCGCCAATCGAACAGAAGGAATTACTGCGCATGCTCTCCCTCCTCTGAAGCAATTTCTGGAACGGTTCCAGGATGCCCGTGTAAACGCAAGCAGAAAAAATTTGGAACCGTTCCAAACGGCACGGTTCCAAATGGAACCGTTCCATTTTCTCTCGTGTAAACAGGGTCTAAGTCTCCAGACCTGATTTAATGAGAGATGTGGCAACGTCTTCTGAGGGAGCTTATTAATTTTAATTGATAGAATGCATTTGTTGATGTTTTTTCTCCGAGTAAGAAATTAATGACATATTTTCATCTGGCAACACAAACTTGAAAACCTACAGGATTCTATACTACACACCTTATATCATCCACAAAAAGTAAAACAGATATTAAAAACTTTATACAGTCGACTCCACTTATAGTCACTCCTGTGAGAAGGCCCTTTTTGTGGTTGCAGGGGTGAACCACCACCTCCTATAACCCCTAAAGTGACGCCCCTGGTTGTTGTTCCATCTAGCAGTTTTTAAAGCTATCTACATAGTGGAAGAGAAGGAGTTGGTGCGGATCAATTTTCATTTTTGGCCATACGTCAAAGCCATTAAAGAATTTCTCCCCATTTAAAAAGCACATGACATGAAAATTTTTTTTTGCCTAGACGTGATCAAATATGCTGATCATGAAAATTGCCAAAAAACAAACACTTTCGTAAATACAGCAGTTTCAAAGTTGATATTTTTACAATCAACTTATAGTTTGAGGAGTCGCGATTCTTATACAAATGTTAGTTTTTTCCATAGAGATAGGATAATAAAAACACTAGAGTGCCGACTCTATTGTTTCGACCAGACCGAGGCTGGTACATTGTGTGCCATCTTGTTGAAGGTAAAAAATCCACGAACTTCATACGCGGAAGTAGTTGAAGCCTGTGCGCTTTAGTGACAACAAGTCTTATTTAAAGCTGTAACTATATTTGAAAACCTAGATGTTGTATATAATTATGTAAATAACTTGTTTATAAGCATTTTTCGATCCAAAGTATCTTCGAAATGCCAAATGACAGCGTAGTAGTGCGGTGTACCCCGAAATCAAGGGTCGAACAATTTGAACAAAGAACTGGAGCAAAAATTTCGTTTCACGGGTTAGTACATCAAGTTTACAATTCTTTTACTTAAATATCTTCCGAATTAAAAATAAAACACGCTAGAATAACTGCTCTTCTCGGCTGTTGAACTCAAGCTGACGCTTTAAGAAAAAAGGGGAGTTCTTAGCCTTAGGCAGGGAATACCAAATGAACGTTGAAAAATTAAACCACAAATAAATTTCTTCCTAATAAAACGAACATTTTCTAAAGGCTTGAGCTTTAAAACAAGCAAGGGCGGATTTACCGGGAGGTGTGAGGGTGCGACTCCCCCCAATATCTTATTGTTCTTTTGTACATTTTGCTTTGATTCTGTAAAAAGCATTTTTTGGTAGTCATTAGTAACAAAATAATGCAGAAAATTTGCTTTATTTGCCTTCTTTATCTGAAAGTTAAAAACTGAATTTAAAAAAGGGGTGTTTCCGTCAGTTGCCAGTCACCTGAAGGGTGTGGCACAGAATCCAATCAAGATCTAACATCTGTCCCTGATCAAATATCACAAAAGAAAAAAGGGACAAGGTCCCAACCCAAGAAAGCTTCCTCTGAATAGGCAGCAAAAAAAAGTCTTACCGTGTTGCTAGTGAAAAAAGAAAAATTTGAATCAGTTAACTCTACCTAGCAGATAAATAAGTTGATATGTTTTCTCAAGATATGATATTTGGCACTTGAAATGCATTGAACCACTAACTCTTTACTAAAATGGTTACAGGTTTCACTCTCTATGCAAAGGATTTAAAAAAATATCGGTTTTTTTCCAAAAAAAACTAATGGAGCTAAAATTTGTTTTTCGGAAAATAAGCTGAAAAGAAGTTGTTCAACAATTTGCTAAAAAGCACCCTTGGGTGTGTACCAGTCAAGGCAGCTGCCTTAAACTATTTGATGGGTTCAGAAACCACAATAAACCACAACAAGAAGTGTTTGGGCTTGGCTTTTTTAAAAGCAAACAGTTTAAAAACAACAATTGTTACATACTATTTCCAAGATATCGATTATTGATATTGATAGATCACTGTTCACAAAATATAGATAGAACACTATGAACAAGTTGGCATTTGTGAGTTTATGAAAATGGTATATGACCATGGTATATGAACAAGTTGCACAAATGCCAATCTTCAACTTGCAATGGTCAAAGAGGATATCTCCATTAAAGGATGTTCAGTCACCAGAGAACAGTCCTGAAGACCACACTGATAGCAACATCTATGATTTGCAAACTTTTTCTCCACTGAAAGACAACATCCTTTTCTACATCAGCGGCTTCATTTGTAGGAAAATTCAGTCTTCAATGAGCTGTTCAAAATGCTTTCTTCTCATACAGAATAAAGATCCTTATTCTCTTGATGACCATTTAAGTACAGCCATTGGTGCAGGATCAAACCTGACAAAAAGACAAAACAGGGGAGGTCTTATTTATGCAACCTTTGGTGTCTTTGGGATTATTAGGCATGTGAAAAAATATTCCAAACTGAAATAGTTAATAAGAAATTAAAAATTACCAATGAGCAAGGCATATGTAAGTAAATGATGATCCTTTGCATCAAAGAGGTGGCAGCTAAGATGGAGAGTCTCTTTCCAGATCAAGAGAAGAGCTGTTTTGAGTCAAATTACCCTGCAGCCGAGGATAGCCATGTTATGGAAATAACAAAGGAGATAGCAAGGAGGTATTTCACACTAAGGCTACAGGCCTATGCAAAATACTTTAATAGAGTTATTCTGAACAAGAGCAAAACATCAATGAGAAACAAACTGACAAAAGCTGTTATCTTCATGAATCAATAGGAAAGTTGAGTTTATTTACCTAACTTTTCATCTCTTACTTGAATGCGTATCGATGGACATCAAGAGGTCACCCTTTTTATAGTTAATCAGAAAATTTATGGTACATTAGAAAACCCTTACATAGTAGAGCACATTTATTGACAATAATCTTCCAAAAGTTTACCTTTATTCAACAAAATTTCGTCGCGCCAGGTTCAATTTAGCCTCCCCATCTAACCAATCAATAGCCAAACGGTTTTAGGTTAATTACGAAAGACCTTCATTTTAAGATACGCTATCCCGTGTTTTGATTTTCACTTTAAATTTCAAGTTCGAGTTTGTGACGGTAAGCTTTCTTGTATTTTTTCGTATTCGGCAGGGTAAATAAGACTGACAGTAAATATTGCTCGAAATTTTAACTCCATTGCAGATAAACAGTTCATTAATCAAACATTATAATGCCTGCTACTTATTTTTTTATCAATTTAAACTAACAACAAGCGAATCATAGTTTTTTATTTATGGCTTCTAGCCAACCGAAGCATTATAATCACCAGGACAAAAACTTCATAAAAATCTCACCTTTCGAACACATTTCACTTCCAACATTCAGCAATGCGATTTCCCTTTGTATAATTGTATTTTTCATCCCCATAATTTATGTGAACCATGCATAGAGCGCTTCTTCTAAACTTCCATCGTCGGATTTGCATACTTCCTTGTAGGGACTCAGATTTACTTACCTTCAACAAGATGGCGCACAAAGTACCAATTGAGAGGAGCCTCGTTATCACTCTAGTGTTTTTATTATCCTATCTCTATGGTTTTTTCATAACTTGTCTCAAATTGGCATTAATAATGAATAAATGTTGCAATTGTGTAAAAATCCCGAAAATTACCACATCGAAGTGAAAGACTGGTAACGAGCATCTCTTACCTCACAACAGGAATCAGCAAACAGAAAATCTGTTGCTAAGGGTTGAAAACCAAACTGTTAACTGTTCGTACAGGGCGTTTTCCACAGATTTGGCTCTTTTTTCTAACATTTGCTCGAGAAAATGATTGATAGGTGCGTTGTTTATGGTTGCAACAACGCCAAGGATCATGAACATGGGATATCGATCCACAAGATACCCTATTTTGGCAATGTTAGGCCTGAAGCCAAGAAGAGGAGGAAGAGATGGACAGATTTTGTTAAACAAAAACGAGCAAAATGGTCTGACTCTAAATTTTCTGTCATTTGCTGTGAACATTTTGTGCCGGCAGATTTCAATACTCATCTTAGAAGTTTGGTAGCAGATCAGCTCGGAACTACCACTTTTCCTACAATCTTTGAGCCCAAAGTGAGATCGAAACCTACAGAAAGAAGCCGGAGACAGGTAAGTTTTCTTTTGATATACTGTTGGTGGGGAGAGGGGGAGGGGGTCATAATTGTTTTGGGTAACCTGGCTGAATATTTTCAAAATATTTTGAAAATTAGTTCGCTATGATGCCAGTAGATAATTCTAAATTGTTAAATATTTATTTACCAGTACATTTGATATCCCTTTCCTTGATTTCTGAAAGAGGTACTTGCAGATAAGGCAGGCCCACCTGGTTGTGCATCTGGTATTATATGGTGAATAAAAATTTGGGAGAGGTCCACAGCATGTGTATCCAAGATGGAAACTTGTAAATTTCACACAATCATGGTATAAGTTGGGTAGACCTGAAAAGCTTGTGGGTTAGTAGTTGAGATGCCAAAGGAGCCTTGTATTCTTGCAGGTTTTCCTAGAAGTATTCTTCAAACAAATCAGAAAAGATGTGCAATGATGCAGTTTACAGAAGTAGGAGATTTGCTGGAACTTCCGAAGGCAACCAGGACAGACCAGCCTCCACATGTAACTTTAAGCAGCCACTAGGCATAAGCACCGAGTTTGACAGCTGTCACGAAAACCAGCCTTATGGCCTAGTATTCTGCGAACAGTTATTTCAGCTATATCGTTGTTTCGCAACTGCTGAGGTAACTATGTTTATTTGTTTAAGTGTTTGTAGCAACACAACCCTTGGTTGTTTATAATGTGCACGTAATGAGTACTCAGATTAATTCATTTTACACCCTAACACGTTTATTGCATCCAATTTTCATAATCTACTAATACGTATATTGTTAATACATTTTAATTGGGGAGTTTATTTTATCTGTTGATCGTAATTGGGGAATTTTTTTTAATCTGCGGATTCTGAGACGAATCATGGAAGAGAAAAGTTGAATTTAGGAAGAGAAAATGTGTTTGCTACCAATATGTCGTATTTATTGGAGGTCCTCTCTTCAATTTATAAAAAAAGTGGTCTAAGGAAGATATACAGTCTGAAATTCACAAAATCTGACCCATCGAGCTGAATGAGTTTATGAGATGGATGAACTTTCAACATAGAAGTTTTCAACAGAGAAACATAGAAGCGTTCTTTGAGGTACAACAACGTGATTTGTTAATAAAATTAGAGAAGCCGGTGATGACACCAACAGGAGAAAATTGCAGAGATTTCGCTAGCAGCTAAATAAAATAGGAAATGAGCTCGTAGGAAATGAGCTTTAAGGTAAACAGATTTTGTTGAGTTAGTTGGAATTGAGACAGTATGATGTTGCGACGTAAAAGAATTTAAGATAAGTGAAAAGTATTGCAAAATGGCCTCTCTTGAATGTTTTGTTTCTGCACAGTATTCAATTTGAACCGGCGAAGATTTGTGACATTTTGGACAACCGAACTGTCAGTAAGAAAGGGAGATGAGCGAAATTAAACGGAAAATAATTCAATGCAGGACTTTTTGGTGCGTGGCAGGAAAATTGAAAGATGAGTTTATTCAGAAAGATTTTGATGAAAGTAGATTGAAGGTATTGAAGGAACAGTTAGGAGGCCTGTTAGAGAGAGTGAAGAAATTGGACAATGAAATTCTTGATCTATTGAGCACAGATGACGATCAAGAGCTGTGTTTGAAAGGAGCTAGAAACGCTAGCAAGTTTCAGCACAAAATGAAAGAACTTTTGATGAAGATGGAAAAGATGACCGACACATTCAAACAACGACACATTCTCAAGAAAGAAGAGATTAAGTAAAATCTGGAGATTCGATGGTAACAATAAATACACATAGAGTTCAAGTGCAGCTTCCGAAGCTTGAGATGAAGAAGTTTAACGGGAAGTCTTACGAGTGGCAAGAGTTTTGGGACTGTTTTAAAAGTTCTGTGGATGACAACAAAGAACTAGCCGCTGTTGACAAACTTGCATATTTGCATCACTTGTTGGAAGAGCCTGCAAAGTCAGTTGTGGCTGGATTTAAACTGACGGAGTCGAATTATGAATCCGCAAAGACACTTCTCCAAAAACGTTTTGCCAAAACAGCTGTTATCAAGAGGGCGCATATTCATCAATTGATGAGCTTGAAGCCTATTTACAGTCAGCGTGACTTGCCTCGATTTCAAAGTCTTTATGATGCAATCGAGACTCACTTCAGCGGCCTTGAAGTGCTTGGAGTGGACTCTTGCTCTCATTCCTGTACTGTGGTATCTTTGCTTCTCGACAAATTGCCTGAAAGTTTAAGAATGAGTATGGTTAGAGAGGCAAAGAATGATCCAGGATGGGAAATGGAGGACTTTTTGATAAATCTTAAGCGAGAGGTGGAGACATTTATACAAGGAAGTATGCTGGACATGGACATAATTTTGCAGCAGTGAGAGAATCAACTAGGCCATCGATGAGCACCAGAAACAATCGACTGCAAACTGCTTCAGCACTTCACAGCAATTTGGTGAACAAGAAGTGTTCGTTTTGCTTAGCAAATCACGAGGAAGATTCTTGTGGAGCCATGAAGGACATTTTCGAGCGCAGAAGTATCGTTAAAAGGTTTGGCAGATGTTTTTTATGTTTAAAAAAGGGCCACAGAGCCTTTTAATGCTGGTGTAAGATTTCTTGTAAGCATTGTAGAGGTAAACATCACATTTCACTTTGTGATAAGGTCAAGGAGCATGTAACAGAGCACCAACCTGTTAAGACTAAGGAAGTGATGTTGCCTAGTCCTAGTGATCCTGTGGTAAGTGTCAACTCTTGCGCAGGGAGTGAGGCATTAGGGGGGGAAGGTAACCCTATAGACTGCTCAAGCTTATGTAGGGTACAAGGAGGGTTCGGGGATTTATATTGATGCCTATGTTCTAGATTGCATTTCAGAAATCAAGGACGAGCACCTTGAGCTTGTAAAACAGAATTATGACCACCTAAAGTATATTTGGTTCTCAGATGTTGCTGTGGACCAAGACCAACTTAAAATTCAGGTGCTTGTGGGGTCAGACTTCATCTGGCAGTCAAGTGGGTCATCTGGCCTTCACAGAAAAAAGGGTAAAGCCCATAATTCTGCGAAATTAGCAGAGAAGCTTAAAATTCAGTGGGAAAATCCAAGTTCAAAAACAGTTCAAAAAAACATGAGCACATTTTAAGGATGCTGTTGCAGTAATGGAGAAATATTTTACAAAATACAGCATGCCATTGTAAAATCGAGTCACATTATGGCATCTATTGCAGATTATTTAATTTCTGCAGAGAAATTTGATCAGGCAGTTGAGACAAAAAACGTTTTTCTTAAGGTCTTTGACTCATTGAGTGTATTGGCCAAGCCAATGTTAATATTTCAAATATGTGAAAAGATAACATCAAGTACATTTTGAACAAGGGTGTAAGAGGTTTATGATCAGGCAGTTGAGACAAAAAACGTTTTTCTTAAGGTCTTTGACTCATTGAGTGTATTGGCCAAGCCAATGTTAATATTTCAAATATGTGAAAAGATAACATCAAGTACATTTTGAACAAGGGTGTAAGAGGTTTATGTGAATCATCCCATGAGGTTTCAACACACCTGTTTGGTGGTGAATTAGAAATATGATTGAAAGTGAGAAAGGATCAAACTGTGTATTTTGGCTTGTCGAAGCATTGGCGAGCATGTTAAAGAATGGTCCCAGTCAGAACTGATTCCCTTCGAATTGATGCGGGTTATAGGGTGCACTTTGGTGATTTGATCAGGCAGTTGAGACAAAAAACGTTTTTCTTAAGGTCTTTGACTCATTGAGTGTATTGGCCAAGCCAATGTTAATATTTCAAATATGTGAAAAGATAACATCAAGTACATTTTGAACAAGGGTGTAAGAGGTTTATGTGAATCATCCCATGAGGTTTCAACACACCTGTTTGGTGGTGAATTAGAAATATGATTGAAGGGAGAAAAGGAGGCAAAACGACTTGCAGTAACTTCAAGATCTTATTTTGAGTCATCTCGTGAAAGAAATTTTTATCAGCACCAAGGCTCTTCACAAAGACCAAATCAAACCTGTGCCCAGAATTCTTTTTTAAAGAAGGGTTACAAATCGTTCTAGTTTTAGCAGAAACAAAGACCTTACCGGAGATAAACATAAATAACTTCATTTCTTTGATTCCTAGAATGAACAATTATTTTATTGGAAGAATTACAATTTTTAGACTAGGTGCCCTTGCTCAGCACTGCAAACATTGAAGTACTATCACCGGTTATTTAGAAACACTAGAGACAGTAGCAGGTCATGAAATTGATTTTGTTTCCTCACCAAAAAAAGCTGATGCCCCTTCCCGAATATCATTTGATAATCATGAAAAGGACATTATAAAAGATGAAATTAAGACATTACAAACTAAAGATGTTATTCAGTCTTGTAGGCACGGTAAGGGCGGGTTTACATCCCCTATTTTCAATTGAATCACCAGCCTATTTTTCAAAATATGGTGTTCCGTCTGACCATAGGTATCCCTTGCCATCAACGACTGCAATTCAAAACAAAGGCAGTTAATGCTCCTGGAAAATTAACGATACTTTCTGGTTTTATCTCAAACGCTTAATTATCTGCAAGAAAATTTACAATACTTTTCAAACCAGCCCTTCCACTTTTAAGAAAGAAGGGCTTCATTGTTTCTGCCTATATTGATGATATCATTATCATGGTTAATTCATTTGATGCATGCATTAGAGTCACAATTGAGACCATTAAGTTACTTGATTCTAAAGGTTTTGTTATTCATATTTCGCGATTATTTATATTATGGCACTTATTTTACTATTTATACTGATAATAATCCTTTGACTTATGTACTTTCATCTGCAAAATTGAATGCTAGTGGATTACAATGGATCAATAAATTGGCTGACGTGCATTTAGAACGTAGTAAAGGTGGTTACGAGTACATCTTAGTTATCATGGATCACTTCACAAGATTTCCTGAATCGTATGCTACAAAGAACAAATCAGCTAAAACAGCTGCTAAAAAACTGTATGACGATCATTTTTTGCGATATGGTTTTCCAGATAAGATTCACCATTATCAAAATCATATCAATATAAAACATTCTTGTACCACACCTTACCACCCACAAGGCAATGGACACCTTTAGCCCTTTAATAGAATTTTATTATCAATGTTTCTCACCTTTCCAGAATCGTGTAAAAGTGGTTGGCATGAGCATCTTAACAAAGTCACCAGCGCCTATAATTCTACTCGTAACAACTCGACAGGCTATTCTCCTTTCTTCTTGTTATTCGCTCCCCATCCTTGATTGCCCATTGATATGATTTTCGACACTGGTCAACAGTCAATTGCAAGAAAACTGTTGTTGTTGAATTATCCATAAAAATATTTAAGTTTTCAAAAATGCAGTTGATTTTTCTTCGACATTTGCTAGTCTCTTTGAAAACTCCTATAAATACCTAAAGAGATTGCGTTCTAGTTTTGGCAAATATTTTAAAAATTAAACAAATCTTTGGTGCAGTTTGGTATAGATTATTTTCCATACTTTGAACCAAACAATGTGGGATTTATACGCCCACCCTCCTTTGTATTAAATCAGGTCGAGCGCCACACGTTGCTCTTCTAAATCCCACGTTGTTTGACTGCACCAAAGGTTTATTCAATTTTTAAATTTATGCAAAAATCTCAGAAAAAATTTTAGGGCTGGTGTGGCCCTTTAAGCTAAATAAAAAACAAACATTTTTTAGTTAACAATATGTGTTTTTTTATTGTCTACAAAGCATCAGAAGATGATAGCGAAAGTGAGAAAGGATCAAACTGTGTATTTTGGCTTGTCGAAGCATTGGCGAGCATGTTAAAGAATGGTCCCAGTCGGAACTGATTCCCTTCGAATTGATGCGGGTTATAGGGTGCACTTTGGTGATTTGAACAGTTGGCTCATTTCTGCTGTTTAAAGTCGTAGAACACCTCCATCACTTTCTTTTTCAGATATGACCAATCTTCAGGGTTATATTGCTGGAGTGAATCTGCAACAACCTTTCCAAATAAATTTGTACGCTCGTATAACCCACTCTTTGCTGTATTTTGTTTTGGTGCTGCTTGTGGCTTCAGAGAAGCAGCCAATGACTTTCACAACTCTGTTTTGGCAACTTCTTTGGCCTCTTCTGTGGTTTTTGGTTGCTTCTTGGTCCTTTTTGGTGGCTAAGAATACCCTTCAAGAGATATGTTAGACGTATCCATATCACCTGTGATCTCAAGGAACTCTATTCGACTAAAGAGTTCCTATGTAGACACATACACATCACATAAACCCGAACCTAAATGTCTTGAGCCTTCTTCTCTTACTTTTTCTCTTTTAAAAACTGTTTGCAAGTTATGCCATTTTTTTTCTTTCAAAAACTTTCCAAAAAGTAGCTCGATCACGAATAGCTCGACCTGCCACCTTTGATATCATTTAAAGGCATTTGAAATGCATAAGTACAGCAAATCAAAAAATAACTTAGGCCACATTGATCAGAGCGCGTGCACATGAATGGAATTGGAAATTGCTCACATAAAACCACTGTGCGCTGCTCTATCTGTGCGAAAGTTGATTGGCCAACCGCTCATTATTATATGGCTGTAAGCCACTTTTATCTGTGTCAAATGTCTTGAAAAGTCAAAAGGTCAAAATCTTGAAGTTATACTAGTCAGGGCTAAACTTAATAGTGAGGGGGTAGGGGTTTCAAAAAACAAGGATTGTACTCCATGTGGCAAGTCTCTATGTCACATAACTGATATGGAATTTAAGGTAAATTTTTCGTTTAACTGTGATTCGTCCAATGCTGTGTATCTTATGGAATGTAAAGTCTGTGGGGTACAAGTGTACAGTGTGTACACTTGCACGCGGTCTAGGCTTACATTTAATAACTACAAGGCGTGCAATCTTAAGTCTAGCAGGGGCTTTTTGGGTAAACCTCAGGCTGATTTTTTCTAGCATTTTGCAGGGAAGGATCATCATGGGTTTCTCAAAGATATTAAAGTAACGATTATAGATAGACTTTATAGGAATGGTAGAATACGTGAAATTTTCTGGCAGTGTAAGTTAGAAATTTTCGCACCAAGGGGCCTTAATATTAGTTGACGCAGATTTATTTTTATTTCAAACCTTTTTGTTTATTTTCTCCTTGCTACTTCTGTTTAATAATTCCACGTTTCCTATCTATTTTTTTTCTATTTTTTGCATTCTATATTTATTGTATTTATTTAACCAGTTTCTAATTTTTTTGGGACAGACAGACTTTTTCTTGGGCCATTCTGGATGCTATATCTGCTAACACACTTGTTTTATTGTTTATTTATGTACTGTATTTATCCATCTTTTCTCACCTCCGGCTGGGCTTAGAAATTCTAATTATGTTGTTAAATTAGCCATTATTGTTCTTGCTTGTAAAATGTACTACCTTTTGTTCTTTTGTTTCGTATTCCTTATTTTACGATCAAAATGTATGTGCTAGTTATTCTGAAGAAGCTTACAGCGAATATATATTTATATATATTATATTACTAATAAACACAAAATTCAAAACTTTTAAAGTTTTATTTTTGTGCTTCTTTATTAATGTGATAATTAAAAGTTGGCTACTTCAGTTGCAGTCAGCAGCTGCTGCTCAACTGCAAATTATTAGTATCATTACTACAACTTATTCTGACCCTTTGTTTAATCCATCCAATTTTGCATATCTTCCTCAAGACCTTTCTTTTGATACATTTAGTTAATGAAATCTGCATTCTGTATTTAAATTTAGCAAGGCTCCAAATCGTGCTACATAAACCTGTATATCTAAGTCTCTTTCAGGTTTGAAAAGAGCTTTTCATATAATGTATAATATATATGTATAGTTCCTGAAATATCTATTTATCAAACTTTGTGTTGAATCTTTCTGCAGCTCATATATGAGGCATTCTATCATCCACAATCAGCAAGTGATAAATGCACATTATATTGTGAAAGAAACCTAATTGATCGAAGAAATGTGTCAACAAATGTTAAACATGGGGTAAACCAATCAAAGAAGTTCCTTAATTTAGTAGCCAAGGCACGTGTGATTGCTGGAGCATTGAAACTGTTGGTTTTAAAATTTATTGATGATTTGCCCCGGCAGCATATGATTGAACCCAATGAAAGATCAACTAAAGTAGAACAAAGGAATTATCTTCACTCTTTGGCGTCAGAAATGGTTGACAAGTTTATTCTGAGAACTGAAAAGGTGGAACAAGTCTTGATTAAAGTTGAGGCTGAAAATGAACATGAGAAGCAGAAAGCAAAGCATTTCCAGTGTCGTATCTCTGGATGTGGCAAAGCCTTCAAACATGATGGCAAGGCAAGAAGGGAGCACAAAGCTACTCATGGAATGACACATTCTGTGCAACCCTCTAAATGCTCAGGGGCAATATATGAGAACAGAGATGATATGCTCAACTATCAGCTGGTTTTGTTGGAGTTTGGGATGCTCGTCCAAAATTTCTTTGATGCTATTATTGAAGGTGACGGAGAAAGAATTGTTAGATGCTGGGAATTCTTTCTACCATATTTACGTTGTGATGGGCAAGGAAGCACTCATTATGCACTTGAGGCGTTTTATTTGCTATGTCGGGTGAATGCACTTCTGACTCCAAAGGCTGCACATGAGCTTAAATGGAACAGATTTTTTAAAAACAAGAATGGACCAGGTGGAAAGATACCCTTGAACCTTTCACTTGAACATCACAACAAGCTGATAGAAACACTCATGCAAAGCCTAGGCCCAAGTGGAACCAATCAGCATTGTCTGAATAGATACATAAAGGCAATAAGGGTTAACAAAGATGTGCTTGATAGATTTGACCAGCAAATATTTTTCAAAAAGGGATCAAGAGAACATAAGGACCGCTGTGAAAAAGCAGATTTGTACAAAAATGTTAACGAGCTTGTTGAAAATTATGCATTGACACATATGAATGGCCGAAAATATATGGACCTTTGTAATGTTAATGACAGTATCTTAGATGGAGTTGACATGCATGCCATGTTCACAAGGATTAAAGAACACAAAAAGAAATTTTTGCAAAAAAGTGTCCAAGATAATCATATTATATTTATAAAACAAAAAAACATGTTGTGTAATTCGTATCTGTTTTGGTTTACTTAATAAATTTGTTTTCATTTGGGGTTGATCTTACTAATTACCAGGTGTCATGATTCTGTAGGGCTAGGGAGGACCAGCCTCATAAATTTTTTTTGCAGATCTTAATTTTTTTTCCTATTTTCCATTAGCCAACCACCACATGTCAAGAGTAGAAAGTATTGAAAAATAATACAAATAACACAACCATAAATTGCCAACTTTTGCCTAACAATGAAGACCCAGCCTACATGCAAACTCTATTAAACAAAATAGTAACGCTTTACCTTTTTCTCATGTCTCATAGTGTTTTCTTATGAAAACATTAATTGAAACATGGCACAGAGGGACATTTTGGTATATTAAAAGCACATGGTAACAGATTTTATCCCAGGAGCTGTGCCCTAAGACCCACTTTGCCACTGCTCTACTAGTTCCATTCCTGCGTAAGCCTGTCCCCTCAAATTCAAAATATGCTCCACTGTGCCTGATTGTTTGTGGCTCATTTAATTCTTAATTGCTTAAAAAGTATGTTGGCTTGGAGGAGGTGGTACCTCAAATACGTGCAAAATGAAACAGGGTGTCCAAAATTGAGGTATTTAGGGCATACATATTTTTTAGACACCCCTTTAGTGCACCAGTAATGTTTATAAGTAATTTAAGCATTTTTAAGTTGTTTTACATAACAAATAAAAGGCATGTTTTACCAAGCAAATCACATCAAGTTTTGGAAAAATTCTTATTATTTATCAAGCCAGAAGATGATATAATGTTACATTCACATCATTTTGTTTGCTTCATATTAAAGTTCAGTTCTCCATTTCAATGTCCTCTTCTTCATGTATTTTGTCGAAGGCTTATGACAAAAAGCCTGATATACTGCAGCTGCCACCATTGTCACTTGTTAACCCTGCATTATCACTTTCATCTGAAGCAAGTAGACTGGATGTTGTGGTATTAAAAGGGTTGGCATGTTGCAAAATTTCCCAATCCTCATGAATTATTTCCACTTGCTCAGATGATTCCTCATCACTACAATTGATATCTTGTAGAATCATTTCAAAATCTTGAATTTTCAAGATTTTGAAATGAATCCACAAGATATCATTTCTACAAGACTTTTAAGTCTCATACAAAAGGTGTAGGACCTGTACCACATGTTTACCTCGCCAGATTTCTACAGACAGAAATATGTCTCAGAAATCGAGAACAAGATAAAATTGCTGTCACCTTTAAGACATTGATCACTGCAGTTGCAATCCATAGCACAGTTATGGCAACACAATAAATGTTTTGGGATCTCCAATGTAGAAAATGCATTGAAATGCTTTCCAATTTCTTTTCTTCTGCACGTTTCATGCTGTAGAAGATTGTTAATTTTGGTATCACAACATGTACTTAGGGCACCATTGTATAGCACATAAGATGTTGCAGAACTTCCCCTCTTCCAAGCCGGCCTGTCTCCATGCTTCCATTGACTCTGGATGACCCAGATGAATACTTTTATACAAACCTCTATGCAACTGTGCAATGAGCATTCTCTGATTTGGCCATCTGATTTATAACATGTGATTATACACTTTCTGGGGTTTCTGCATGAAACATGTCCACTAACCGCTTACTTGGCAATAATCTACTACTGGCAAGCAAATTTTTCCCCAGTGAAATTGAAAATGCTCTAAATAAAATAGAGCACTGTTATCTAGTTTGGCAAAATATAACTGCCCTTTTCATATGTGACTTACAGAGTAAAACCTCATAAAGGAAAATCTCATCTAAGCTTTTATTTTTATTGACATATTCAAATATGCAAATTATATTTGATCGAATTGAACTTTTTTACCAAAAAGGTTTTTGCAGCATGCAGTTGAAGCATCTCTTACTGGTGCTTTTTCAAGTAAAAGTGATTTTAACTCCGCAAGTTTTCCATACCAATGTCGAAATGGTGGATTTTGTGAATCTAATGATGTTTCCCTGAAATAGAATAATATTTATGTTCCATAGATGTGATTGGATTTTTGAAAATGTAAGTGTAGATGTTGGGAAAATTTTCTATTTGTATATTTTGATATAATAAAAATATTTTCATTTGAAGTTAATATATTGGGTTTTTGTTATTGCCAGATTTCAAAGCAACATGTTTAAAAGAGCAGCTCATATCGAGCCCACCATCATGGCTCTTTCCCTAGTCCCATATATTATATGTGACGGAAAAAGGCCCACTTACCAGTGAAAAAGACAGTGTGCTTCGTCAATAATCAAGCCAACACAGTTTTTTCTAAATGCAGACGATGATGCTATGGTTCTCCAATGTTTAATTAAAAGCAAAGTTTCAGGTGATGCATAAATCAATGAGATACAAACTTCAGTAACATGTTCAAATAATTCATCCCTTTCCATCTCATTTGTGTCTGCCAATGCGATGGCCGTAATTCCTGTCTCCTTATTTAAAAAGGAAACTTAGTCGATCATTAGCGATTTTAATGGTGATATTACAATAACTGGGCTTGTTGCTGGGAGCTGATCTAAAATGATGTCAGTAATTATCGGTAAAATCTGAAAAATCAATGATTTCTCAAAGCCCATGGGAGAACTGAAAAATAGATAATTTCCTCCAAGTTGTTTTCGCAATGCCTTTCTCTGCTCTTGATGTAAATTTTCATGCCAGTTTTCGATTGACATGTACCTTCTACATGCCAGTTCCAAAGCCTCCTCAAATTTCTTGTCAGTAAAGGAGGCTGACATTTTGAAAATTGTGGGTCAGAGATGCCTTGAATCCTTGTCATTCATAAATTAAAACTTGTTATTATTTCAATGGTTTTAATGCAAAAATTACTTCCACAGATTCGTTGGATAGGTTGGAAATGAGGATAAGTTGTATCAAACTGTAAGAATTTGTTATCCAAGCTTTCAAAATAGCTGTTGTTACAAAGTTTAAGTCGTGTTTTTGAATACTAGCAGTTTGCCCCTAATAAGTTCAAACAGTAATTTGTGATAGGGAATATATAGAGCATTTAAATTTGTTTAGAAAATGTGCAATTAGTGTTAAGTTAAAATATAACCATATTTCTTAAGACTTGTTTTCAATGCATCTTGGCAAAAACTCTCTAATATAAAATTCTGTTAGCTTGGGTATGTTTGTTTCTGCCCAGCCATTGTCCCTGCTGACATAAATTTTTTTAAGCTCTTTGGTTGTTCAAATTACAAAATGTGCCCATGAAACATTGGCAGCTACCATTTCCCCCTATACTTGATGCCTGTAATTATGTGTCTACTTTAATTTTCCTTTCTTTGTTACAAAGAAGGAAGCAGCAGTCTCTTGGCCTTTAAGCTCATATTGGCCTTTCAGCCAATAATGGAATCCTTTGCTTGGTCATAAAAAATATTGCTTTTGAGGGAGACTTCATCCATCAAATGAGCACAAATTTTTCTTCTAGCTGGCAAAGTATCCACCCTCTGCTTCAAAACAAAAAGGGACCTTTCAGAAAAACCAGCCTCAGATTCAAATGTTGAGACTATTCTGCTAAGTGTGCGTTTGGAAGGCAAATCAAATAGCTGAGCTAAGAATCTGTATGCCTTACAACTTATTATCAAAACGCTTGCCTTTTTCTGAGTCTTCAGAAATTCTAGAATAGCAGCACTTATATTGCCTTCTAGAAGCTCAAAGACCTTTTTCATCTTTTCAGCCTGACTTTGCTTGACATTATTTTGAACCAGCTTCAATTTATTTTGAAGAGAGTTGCACCTTTTTTTGTTATTTTTGTTAGCAGCCTCCTTTAATTTGTTTTATGGGGAGTGTGAGCACTTGATTCATTTCGGGTCTGACATGCATGGTCAGTGTTGTCTGCTGAACAAGCACTTGCATCGATTTCATTACCTGAAGCATGGAAAGTTTTATTTGACAAATATTAACTATATTTCTTTTAGTTGGTGAAAAGTAAACAGTTAATGGATTGAAAATTATAAGTCAAGTTTAAAAAAGGAAAATGAAGTTTTGAAGAAAAAAATTTTAACAAATTGACAACATATAAAGCTTTGATAGGATGACAACTCAGGGGCAAATAGCAATAAATGTCAACTTGTAGTAAAATTAGAAGTAAATGTATTTTTTGGTAATAAAATATCTACTAATTTACCAAATTGGGTTGATTGTATGTAATATATTCGAAATGAAATCCCAATTTTTTCAAATAGATTTAAGCACACTTGATTTTTCTTCTTGCACTAAATCTTGTCCAACAGGAGGATCATCAATTTTTATTCCAAAAATATGATAAAAGAAATAAAAATGTAAAATATGAGATGCGTTTTTAATTGCCCAATGACAAAAGCATTTCTAGTATGTGTATCTAAGGGGTAGCAACAAAATATGGCCATTACTAGTGAAAGCTTCATCTGTATAATCCTCTTCCCTGCAATATATATAAAGAAAATGTTTCAATTTTTGAACATAGTAAATGCAACCCTATCACAATTAAATATTTCATGCCAAAACTCTAGGAAAATATTGACCATGATAGAACAAAATTTCACTTTTCTAATTTACTTTTTAATAAACTTTTCAGATTCCTGAAAAGTATAATTTTAAAATTCTCTTCACAAGGATTTTTAAACTTTTGAAACGTCACAAGGAGAGTTACTTTTTACCATATAAATCTTCTTACCATATAAGTCACCAGATTCTTCTGGGCCAAAAGGGGGTGGAGAAATAACTTTGCATCAGCAAATAGCCTTCTCCTCTGGTTCCCAACTCCACGAAATGCCTCTTGTCTCAAATGTTCAGCACAAAGAAAGTGATATTTGTTCAGGAAGGCTGGCTTTTTTGACATCAGCTTTTCCTGCCCCACAGCCTGTAACCATTCATTGCACCTTTAAAAGGAACAGAGTACTTTAGCAGGTGTTTTCTAGTAATTTATCATGCAAAATATCTATAAATTAAAAATTATCATGAAATATTATAAAATAACGTATTGCTTTTACTTTTTATTCAACTGTTATATTTTGAGAGGAAAGATTTTAAAGGTGCTTATGGTGATTTCTTCTGTTGTTCTAAATCATATTGGCAATCTCTTTAAATAAGGTGTGGTACTTAAAAATACCCATTTAGAGGATAAAAAAATAAAAACTTTCATGTAATATGATTAATGGAGAATCAAAATTTCTTACCCCTATGAATTATCCTATCTATCCAACTGGGCAATGAAGTCATCTGCTTTCTATTCTAAACTTTTGTATTTTCTGCTCCCAGCTGCCACTTGTATGCACTTACTTGTATGTTTAAAAAATAGTTCATAGAAGCTAAATACTTTTTATAAAAAATACATAGTACTGCTGTGTCAGGACAAACTTTGACCTTTATTTTAAGGTTAGCAAACAGTTGGCCTTTTTTCTGTAAAAATTCTTTGCTTCCTGATAGCATCAATTTTTAAAAATTAATAAAGTACTGAACTTTTCTAATTCTGAAAACAGGGTGGGCGTTGCCGGGGCTGCTAGCACTGGCACCGGTCTGCCAAACAACTGTTATTTTTCTATTGTAAATGGGAAAGAATTTAACGATTACAGTTGTTCCCTATTCTCAAAATATAAATTTCTTTCTGATGACACTGATTTCCCCCTTTCCTTGAAAAAATAAGTACTGAAATGGTTACTTACCGTAGCGGATCTAGAGTAAATCAATGAAACGAAAGGTCAGGACAATTTGCCTTATTGTTCTTGCATGACGTAGCAGAGCAGATGGAGCCAGTTCTTGGTTTCTTCTTCCTTTTTTCCATTTCCTTTCGGAGTATATGCAAATAAGATAAAAATTTATATTCGAAAATAGGGATCGTGACTGTTCGCACCAAAGAAATTCGCTTTTCCTTCTAAACTTTACACACCATCCTCGTTTTGGTGGCGCATGCGCGAAAAAACTCACACTGAAGCGTTTGGACAGGAGTGACCCTTCTGGTCATTTCTATTCTGTGCTAAGGAGGAGTAAGAGGCAATCGTCACTTGTGATTTTGTCTGCTTAGTTGTGGCTGAAATAAGCTAAAAACTGAATTGTAAGTTATCTATTCAAGGCCCACACCACAAATTTGAAAGTGGGGGGGGGGGAGCAAGGCTAGCAAAAGTAGGGGTTCAAGACTTCTTTCCCCTTTTACTGAAGCTATAAAACTACTTAATTTGCAAAAAAGAAGGGGGGGCATGGCAACCACCGCCTTTTTGTGTCATGAGCCCTGTTATAGGATGTTGTTCAGAACATTTTTATTATCCCCTGTCTTCATTTGGGCCCCCAACCCTCTTGAATAAACCCTCATCCAAAAATGTTTTGAATTAATAAACCCCCAGATAATGTGATGACTTACAGCAGGGGTCGGCAACCCGCAGGCCACATGCGGCTCGCAGGGCATTTTTGTGCGGCCCGATGCAAGAGTGTCTTCTTTTCAACACAGCTTTTCAAAAGCAAGGTACATCCTGTAGGCTTTCTCTATTTGGGGCCATTGAGTATTGAGTTGCAGTGTGATTGCTGCAGTTTTATGTGATATCGGCATCTGTTGTCGACAACTTGCTATTGATGGAAACTGTTTTGTTAATCAGTAAAATGTTGAGCTCATGTGATCAGTTCCAGGTCAACCAATAGTATTGCAGCACGAATATCATGACGTTTGAGTATACCCTCTCCTTTTATTGTGACTCAGTGCCTTTAATTTAAGCTAAGTCAAGACAGACGCTGTTCATTGTACAGCTGTTTTTACCTGTTCATCCCATTCAGCTTTTTGTTATGATGCGCGCTTAAAGAAGACGAATTGAAGATGAGCATCGCTGTTTCAACCAACGATGGACGGAGAATTATTTCTTTGTTAGTCAGCTGCGTGCTGGAAGACCAGTTTGCCTGTGTCTGATCTGTAATGACACAGTTGCTGTTTTGAAAGAATTCAATGTCAAACGGCACTTTGAAACGAAACACGAGGCTTACTCAAAAGTCAAAGGACAGCTTCGTAAAGATAAAATTAATGAACTTCAAAAGAACCTAGAAAAGAGCCAATCAGCATTCACAAAATGGGTAGGGGAAAAGGAAAGCAACATCCGCGATAGTTTTGCTGTGAGTGCACTTATTGGTAAACGCATGAAGCCTTTCAGTGATGGAGAGTTTGTGAAAGATTGCTTGATGGCTGTTGTTGACAGTGTGTGCCCGGAAAAGAAACAACTGTTTTCTGACATTTCTCTTTCTGCAAGAACAGTAACACGGAGGATAGAAGCTATGTCTTCAGATGTGAAAAATTCTCTGAAAAATTTTTGAATATTATTCTAGAATATTATTCCATTGCTTTGGATGAGAGCACAGATGTGAAAGATACTGCACAACTGGCCATATTTATTCGAGGTGTGAATTCGGAATTTGAAATTGTGGAGGATTTTGCTCGCTTGTTTCCAATGAAGGACACCACTACTGGCGAAGATATTTTTCAAGCAGTGAAGCTATGTTGCAAAGATCTGGACTTGCAATTTGATAAATTAGTGAGTGTTACAACTGACGATGCACCTTCAATGGTGGGAAAAAAGAAAGGCGTGGTTGCTCTAATTGAAAAGCATATGAAGGAACATGGCATCCAAACTGAACTTGTGAAGTTTCATTGTATAATTCACCAGCAAGCATTATGCGCGAAGTCTGCATCACTGAGAGAGGTAAAGTTTCAATTAAAAATTTAGCAGATTTGCAGTTTTCAGTTCAGTTTATTACGGTCCGGTGATAACTTGAAGAAAATGCCTACCAAGTCATACATTTTTTGTACTAATTAAATTCATATTTTTTAGGTTATGCAAGTTGTAGTGAAGACAACTTCATCTACTCAATCTTCGTCAGTTTCAGGAATTACTGCAGGAAGTTGAATCTGATTATGGCGACTTGTTGTACTTTCTGAGGTAAGATGGCTAAGGCGAGGTGCAATGCTTCAACGAGTCTACCAGCTTCGGAAAGAGATTTGTGATTTCATGATGGCCAAGAATATGATAGCACCTGAATCCAGTGATCCGAGCTTCTTGTCTAGATTAGCGTTCCTCGTTGACATTACTGGTCACTTGAACAAGCTAAACAAGAAGCTTCAAGGCCGTGGTCAATTATGTATGAGCATGTGGCGACGTTCCAACGTATGCTAGGCCTTTGGAATACTCAGTTGGATCAAGGAAACTTGGCTCATTTTCCCACTTTGCAGGAACAGCAACCTGTCAATGTGTTGATGTATGCATCTTTCATTGGTGACCTTCGCATGCAGTTTAACGGCAGATTCAAAGATATGCAGTGTCAAGGCGAAAACTTCAAGCTGTTTGCTTCGCCATTTGAAGTCGAAGTTGAAGCTGCCCCTGAAAATCTTCAAATGGAGTTGATCAAGCTGCAGGGTACCAGTCAATTGAAACGAAAATTCAAAGAAACTGATATCATCCAGTTTTATCAACAGTATGTCAAGGATGATGGTTCATATCCAGGTCTGGTGTAACATGCCAAGAAGATGTGTTGTATGTTTGGCAGTACTTATCTTTGCGAAAGTCTTTTCTCAAAGATGAAATATGCGAAGAGTTGACTGCGATCTTGAATCACTGATCAGCACCTTGAAGGCAACATGCGTCTTTCAACATCAACGATTCTGCCAAATATTGAGAAGTTGGCCAAGGACATGCAGCTCCAAGTTGCGCATTAGCTTCATACTGAAAAGTGAACATGTATTTTGTATCTATGTTTTTGATTACGCACACTCTGTTTTAAAAGAACAGTTTTGTGAGAACACGAGCCATAAGTCAAAATTTAAGAACAAATTAAGAACAACCTGAAGCTGAGCTACTGCAAAATGCAATTTCGAACAACGTTTTATCTCAAAAACGAGAATTTTAGCCATGTGTTGGTGCTTTCTCTCTGAACAATCAACCATGGTGGCAAATAAAGGTTTTCTCACGCACTTTGTTGGCAAATTAGGCCTTAACACTTAAGCTGGCAATGGCACTGCTTATACTCCATAGGTTTAAGATCAAAATGAGAACAATCCAGCCTCAGTTTTCCAAAACATTTAACAACAATAAGCCTGAACATAAATTTACTGATCATTAAAAAAAGAGTGTACTGCTTCAAAGTTAAAGCATAGCTTTTTGCCGATAAATACATTTTTATTGGTTAGATTAATAGTTAGATGAAGTAAAATGAGTATATATTAAAATTATACTGTATTTTGAGTTGCGGCCCTCTTATGCATTTCAAAGTCTAAGTTTGGCCTCCTGGTTTATAAAGGTTGCCGACCCCTGACTTACAGTATAGTTATTAAGTAAACAAAAAGTAAATATATTTTCTGTACCAACACATAAAATTTCTTGGTAAGAGAAACTATCAGTCAGTTCGATCACAGAATATTATTCTTATTCTGTGGTTCCGTATTTCTGAATGGCAATTATGTAGGTATCTAGTATCTTCATTAAAATTATTTTGAGGCAAACTTGCAAAAGTAGTTGTAAAATTATCATCATGTGCTCTCCCAACAAGCTTGAATGCACATGTGATGCAATTTTTCTGTTTTCGGGGTTTCCAGTTGTAATGCAGAGTTACACCAAGCCTACGCCAAATTTTTCATTGCCAGGCTAACAGATAGGCCAACCCTACGCCAAAAGGTATCCTAACCCCATGCCAAAAGGTACGCAAATGGTGTAGACCACGTTTTTTCACAACCCTTCCTCAAGGCTGAAGACTTTGTTGTCATTGCTAGAGAAATTAAGGAGAATGTATTGAAGGAAAATATGTACAGTGTGGAATTAAATGAAAGACTGCCAAGTGAAGTTCCCCTACGGCTTCAGTCGTTCATAAACAATTTGTTATCACATTACAAGAACGATAATGATAGCTTCTATACAAAATATTCAACGATTTTTGTGATAACACTCGAATTTTTCCCTGATAGAAGTGTGGAAGAAACAAATTTATTTCTTTTAAAGTTGGCAACAGCCAGGCTGTATCACGTAAAAAAGGGAATGCTTGGTGATTCGGATAATTCCTATGGCAAGGGGCTAAGACGGGAAGAGCACGGTCCGTTGGCCTATGTTGCTGGTTCAGTTCTCAGCCAGATTTATAAAAAAGCTGTTTTTAAAAATAGAAAAAGCCCGTGGCAAGAAGAAATCAAATTTCCTTTTGCCAAAACTTTAATCGGTTGAAACCTCCCACAATGCCTTCATTGCCAGCATGAGCAGGGGCGGTTTGTGGGAACCTTCAACAAAGCTGATGAGAATACATTCAGAAGGCTGACCAAATCCTCACAAAGGTCCATCCCTATTGATGATATCATGAAATCTTGCCTTTGCCATCCATCTCTCATCTCAATAGACCTATTTCACAATGACGTATAACCTGCATTGAAAACAAGGCGCAAAATCCCAAACGAGAAAAGTGATGTTCCAATCTCCAAAACATCATTTCTAAACAACACAACCCGCATACCAGCATTAAAGAAACATTAGAAATCCATGGATGAGTTTAATGCATTACTACCCGACGGAAAAAGAGTCACTTGTTTAGAAGATTTGGGCAATTTTTCTGTGAAGGAATTGAAAGAAATATTGAAGTGTTACCAGGAGAAGACATTGGGAGTGAAGGCCGATTTGGTACTTCGTTCATACGCCGTGTTTTGTAGGGCAAAGAACAAAGGCATTGCTGCTGAACAATCTGACAGTTTGAAAACATCTCCCCTTCCTTGTGTTGGGACCAATTTTACTTATCAATCTATTTTGAATAAACAGTGTAGACATTTGCCCTGGACATCTGATTTGCGTGGAATGCCTACTTTTAACTTTTAACTACTGTTCAACTGTATGAGTATCTTGTCATTCGAACATCTAAGTTCAAACACATCACTTTGAAAAGTACAGACTACAAGAAGTTGAAATCATTTCAATTTTTTTATGAAGGATTCATAAAAAAGATCCAAGTAGCAAAAGACAGCCATTTTACTTATTTTGATGTCAGAGTTAAGGCTTCAATGAGGAAGCATCTCTACAAAGTGTTACTAACACTAGCAAACTCGTCTGGTGATGTCTGCTCTGCTGTCTGTACTTGCCCAGCTGGCTTGGGCTTGGGAGGTTAAGGCAACTGCAATCATGTTGGTGGTATACTATTTGCCCTTGAAGATTTCAACAGACAAGGCCTACAAGAATTTGAATCTGCTGTCTCTTGCACCTCAAAGTTATCTTCTTGGAATGTCCCCAACGCCACCTAACTCAAGGCATTCAATCCAGTTCCAATTGATGAAGTAATCATTCAAAAAATCAGATTTGGAAAGGATAATGATCAGACAAATGTTTCAAAATACAAACTCTTTGATCCTCGTGCACCTGATGACGGATGCATCAATGAACATAGCCTTGAAGTTTTGAAGTCCAAACTGTTGTCACGTGTTCCTTTCAGTGATTTCTTTGGTTTTCACAAAAATGTTTCTTCTTTACCTGACAAAACAAGTTCCTCTCCAGAGCCTGAACCTGTTCCCCAAATCCTGCCTTCCCTGCTTCTATGGATGGCCTAGTGTTTGCAAATGAAGAAACTTATGGCCTTGAAATAAAATGTCCATATTCCAAGTTCAATTCTTCTTTGCACAAAAAAAATTTTCTCAAGGAAAATCCAGATGGAACCATAAAATTGAAACGGAAACACCAATACTTTATTCAATTTCAAGGGCAAATTTTCTGTGCAGGATTGAAAAAAGTGGATATTGTTGTGTGGTTGGGTGACAACGAGCCATTGTTGAGAGAAACCATTTTTATGGTGAAAACTTCATGATAGACTTTTTGCTACCTAGACGTAAGTATTTTTATTGCAGAGCTGTACTACCAGAATATTTTACTCAACGTGTCAAACAGGGAAGCAAGTTGTACTTACATGGTGGATGGGAAAATTATCAGAAATAGAATGTTAATTACCATTAATTTATTACTACAATTATTTTATTAAAATTTATTACAATTAATTCTTATCATGCATATCCACAAAAAATGGTAAAAAATTTGTTAATAGACAACATACAGTAAAAAATTGGTTAGAAATAGGAAACAATGTTATTGGTAAAACTCCATCAAAAATATGGTAGTTTTTTATTCGTCCAATTGCTCTTTCTACATGTATCCTGATGGATGCAATGCGAGCAGTCTCTTCAGTTTCCTCTGAAGTAGGCTGGCTTCTTGAACCTTTGAATGGAGGAATATTCAGTGTAACACCAGCTGGTAAGCTATCTGCTATGTCAAAGCCATGAGCAGCCATAATATTGTCACCAGCTTCTAGCAAAGAAAGCAAACCTGACTTCAGGGTCAGTTCTTCGTCTGAAACTTTGCCAGACCATAGCTTTAAAACGAAAGTTATGCAACCAGCTGGTGAAATTCCCACAAGAGCCTTCCTTGTATTGTAATACTTGTAATCAGACCATGTTTGAGATTTCAAGGAAGATGGTACCTCTGTGAAGATCTCAGTGCCATCAATAATGATTCTTGTTGTTGGGTACTCTTTAAATTGCTGAGGCATATTATTTCTAACAAGTTCTTGCGAAGGAAAAGGAAACAAATTTGGCAATTCATGAAACACAAAACATATCCAGGTAGTAAAGACTTTTGAAAAATGTGCAGGAGAAATACCAAACCTATCTGCTAAATCATCTACAAACAATCCCATTTCTAATCGCATCAAAATCATAACATACTCTTTTATATGGGTAAGAGTGCGCTTTCGGCCAGGCTTGGAAATTTCTTTTTCATGATAAGAGAACTTTGTTGATTTATGTGATGATTCTTTACCACGCCAGTAATGCAACCTATCTCATTTAGGTTTGAAATACTCAAAAGTAGCCATCAAACAAAAGAAATTGGGAAAACTGGTGTAAAATTTTGTTGCAGAATCGTCTTTTTGCAATTTATCTAAGGAAAACAGAGCTTTCTTCGCCTCTGTTAATTGCATTTCAAGTTGTTGTATCTTGGTTTTGAGATCTTTTAGCTCTAGTTCCAATTTGTCACAGTCAAGACATGGAGACTTTGTGATAGTATCAACTACCTCAGACGAAGAAAGATAAACGGACAATTCGACAAAAGAAAAATCTGTTTGTGTTGAAATAGAATTGCCTACAGGCACCAAATGTACCTCCTCATCATCTGATTGAATAAACTGAGGCTCAAAATCATCTGTTGATTTTTTAGCTGCTGAAAATGATGCCAATTTGCAGGCGACAGGAGGTTTGTGTGCTTTCTTCCCAACAGAAGGAACAGAGCTCGGATGCAGATTTAAGGAAGGCATTGAACCACCTACCAATCGCCAATGATTTGGGTTGCGCTTGATGTCAGCATCAGCAAAGTGTACTTGACATAAGCTATTGGAGCCTGTAACTTTAAATCCATCCATTTCATCTACTCGTTTAACCAAATTGCACCATCAAAGTTTCTCGGGGTACTTCTGAGAGAATCTGAAAAAATGTAGGCCGCTTGGTGTTCCGTCAACGTTATAAAAAGTATTATAGCATCCAAATGCTGCACATTGTCGGCCTAGGGATTGTTTCTTCTTTTTATTTGCCTTGACGTTATGATCGTTCTCCTAGTTGCTCATTTTTATTTCCAATTAGGGAAGATGAATAATGGAACACTCAAGTTCGTTTCGATTGAATTTGTTGTTTAGAAATGATGTCTTGGAGATTGGAACATGACTTTTCTCGCTTTCGCACCTCGTTTACAATCTCGATGCTATGTCATTGTGAAGCATTGAATGCAGTGATCTTTGTTTACAAATGATTATCAAATCGTTTGTAAGCATTAGAGGTTTTGCCCACACCACAGATATTTGGAAAAGACATCTAGCTCAACAACACCTTGAGAAAAAACAAAAGGCATTGAGGAAAACACTAAAGAAAAAGGCAGAGGAACGCCAAAAGAAATAATTTTGTTCTAATATTAACTGACTGACTTGTAACTTGTTGTATGAAATGAACTAGAAATATATAAAAAGTCTTCTCTACAAGGAACTTGTCTATAAGACTTCACTCTACCTTATTGTAAGTTTTTCTATACCATAAGCTTTAAATGAGCTTCTTGGTGGCTTCAATCTGGAATGTTTTTGGTTGCCTGATTTGGATAACCCGAAGATCTAATTCCAGGGGGGATTAAATGGAATCAAGTTCTTACATCAAATAATAAGTAAGTTGCCATACAAATACCTTTTTAAAGGTTACCTTTCTAGAGCTGGGTTACCTTACTTTGAGCTTTTTAATTTTCAATTCAATATGTGATTTATAATAGACTACTTGTATCCTAAGACTTATAAATATAAATCAATAAACAAATTAACGGTTATTTTTAATTTGTTTTGTTGGAAGTGGTTCATCACTCGCTTTTGACCATTTCAGAGAATGTTTTCCCCTAACATTGCCCTTAGGTGCTATTGATCATTACATGTTAATGATCATTACATGTTAATAATTTGGTCATTGTAACCAAATTCGCTGGCCATCGAGTTATCACATCTTCGCCCATGGGACCTTTGGTAGCCAACATATTCTTCCAATACATCTTGCATAAATCTCTCTGTCAAAACAAACTTGACACCGTTAAGTAAAAGAAATCTGATAAGCTCAATTGTGGAGTTAATTGTAATTTTGTATCCCTCAAATGTTTGTTTGGAGATTAACATTTTGCTTTTATCTTCCTTAAAGATCTCATCAGTCTCCTCTATTGTTTAAAACCATTTCTCAAAGTATTGCAAAAAGCAATCCTTCATCTATGCAAGGCATGGATCAGCACCGATTTAATGGGCTCTATTTTGCTGTTTCTCTTTTTGTGCACTTTGTTGTGGATCTTACATTGCAGATGTCAAAGAAATCATTGACCAGAGAGCAAAGCTTTGTTGTTTCATCTGCCTTCCTTTTTGGGAAGTAATGTGTCAGCGCAAGTGACATTGTCTTACTAAGGACTTGAAGAGCATATGATACTCTCATTTTGCCAAATGGAGAAATATTTACATGTTCTGGTCCAAGTTTGACAAGTCTATGAAGACCCAGCTCAAGATTCTTGTGTTAGGCTTGGGCAATATGGTTCCATAGAAAATGCTTGCCATTATTCAACACAAGGCGCTTTGAATTGGCAGAGAAACCAAAAAACAACAAACAATTTCTTGTTGTTTTAATCAAATGTGGAACGTCAGTAAGGAAATAGATCTATCGTTTTGGTGCTGCAATAATGATTGTAAAATAAATTGGATCTTGGATTGGTGATGTTTGCATTTTCTAAAAACTCTCTGTTTTGACTAGCACCATCACAAACAGCAAAGACAACCCACAGATTCAATTTCAACCCCACCATGAACACTGCTTCCCAGATAACCGGCCATCACTGACACGACATTACTCCTGTAAGATAATGGCTCAGGACTGATTTCAACGCTGAACAAACCCCTCAAACAGGAAACACAAGAGCATTTGTGGCAAATGCATTACAATTATCAAAGCCCCCTCTCTCTATTAAGCCCCACCCATTTTCATACAAGAAAGACTTTAACAGCCTGTGTTGTTAATAAAGTAACAGTCTCGAAGGACGAATTATTAAAGGGCGAAGTCGATAGTAAGAGACTATGTCATGTTATTATCTACCAAAACAACTAACTATTTCAAAATAAACACAGCGGTATACACAAGCAGCGAAGCGTAGCATGAAAAACACAGCGGGAACAAAATCTTAGATGTTATCACTACAAGACTGCAGAGTAAAGTGCAATGATTTAGTGATAACTTATGATGTATTTCGTTGTAATATTGCCAGTTTCTAATTTCATGTGTTTGAGAGGCAAAGTTTTTCTGTCTAGTTTTGTCTTCAACATCTCTAGCAGCCCTCAAGAATCATTCAGTGCAGTGTAGATTCCTGGAACAACCAATCCATCTTCAAGCATTCTTGCTCCGGTTGGTAAGAATCTGAGATTGCAGCCTTGACGATCGAGAAACTTAAAAAGCAAGTATGACAGTTTATTGGTAAATGACCAACTAGCTGTTCGTGACACCCTTGATCACCATGGAGATATATGCCGATAGCGTAGTCATCATAAAGTTTTGCTTTTTCTTTTTTGTTGTGATGGCAAAATAATGTTTCTCCAACAACAGGTTACCAAACCTTCTTGTAAATAGGATGCCCTCTGGCAACAGTTGCAAAATCTAGTCTGAAATGTTTGCAAAATTCAACTGCTTGAAGTCTAGCCAATGTTGCAAGGAATTACTGTATTCTCTATATTATGGCATAAGATTTGCAAATTTATTCAACAAGGGAGGTCCAAATACTAACTATCGGATACCATTTCTTTTGACATGCAGCCTAAAGCCTGGTTCATAGTTCTGAACTTATTAGCTTACGCTAAATTCTGCACAAGGGTAAGCTTTGAAGCATACGCCTTTTCATCTTGCATATCCAAAAAGCGTAAACACGTAAGTTTTCTGCATGTCCATGCGGGAAGCTTGTAACGATACGCCATAACCTTTTTCGGCTCATAGTTTCCAGACATGCCGTCGAGGAATGTTCCTCTTGCCCTTCTACTTGTCTGGAGAAAAAATAAAAAGAACAGCAAACATGCTGGTATATTCTACCTACAAATACTTTACGAACCGTTTGCGGGGATTGTGCCATTATTGCCAACGATTCGCATTTAATGTCAATGATTCCGGTATAAATAGCCATTTTTCTTGCTCCTGTCCAATAATTTAATATTTGTCCCGATTTCTTACCCTGGGTTCCAAACCGACGGTCTTCTAGCGATGAATCATACATATGGGGGTATTTGTGTATCTCTTCACAAAGTTTTCTTTCAAAATCGGCCATTGCTAAGAAATTTTACGTACGGAAGGCAAAAAAAAATGAAGATTTCTCAACTCGATAAGTTCAAGGCATACGGGTTTGCGAAAAACAGAATAAACTTCCGTACGCAAGACCTATGCCTCTGATATGGGGCGAAATTTAGCGTACGCTAGCTCTTTGGCAAGCCGACACCATACAAGCTGGCGCCTCCCGCAGAGAAATAAGGCGTACGGGTAAAAGTTTTGATGTAATGCGTCGACTATGATCTGGGCTTAAGACCCGTTTACAGTTATACATTTTCGTTTTCAGATAAAAAACCAGAAAAGTACAGGAAAATAAAAGTCATTTTTGTATCCTTGATCTTCATTTTTGAAATAAGCCCCACCTCCCCAATAAGCCCCGGTCTCTATTAAGCTCCCCCTTTAGGACCTCGGAAATTAACAGAGCTTAATAGAGCCTTTGTGATAGTGAAATCAATCAGTCACTAAGATCAGTGTAACCAAGCAAAACCAGTGTAACCAGCCATCTCATTAAGGGGAATGCCAACATATCTTTCTGCACCAGCACTTTCCATTCTGGCAGCAGTTAGACCTGGCTTTGGTGCAAATGCATGTTTGTAATTTCTAACTTGGCATAGTTTTTGCTCTTCCCAAAAGAACTTCATACGAGGAGTAATTTCAGTGCCATTCATCACTCACATAACAACCACTTTCATTTATTTCTTTTCTTAACCTTTTTAATTCAGTCTCTAATTGGGAACGTTTCGGGCAACTTTCTTGTAATTTCATCATCAGTTTTTCTTTTCTGCATGCTGACAGAGGTGCCTTCTTCTTTGCTGGATGAATCTTCTTTCAGTGACCACATTAGCATTTCGCTTTTCTGCCTCAGTCAAAGACTCACAGGAAGAGCACAAAGCACTGCATCTGTTATATAAAAGTATAGTGCAGGCTTTGCTTCGCACAAAATTCTTGCAGACAAATGGGAAGGCCGTTTCATCATGAGATGATCTCTGCGGCACTACATGACTAAGTGTATTATTGCCAGTAAACCCACAGGGGCAGACGTAGAAAAAATCATGACCGTGGCACAATTTTAGGTGACCACGCACAATTTCTGGTCTTTCGGAAACCCCCAGTTTGAGCATACAGAGACCGGTTTAGTGTTTATACCGAAAACATAGTTACATTTAGCGCAAAGCTGTCACCGTTCCTGTCGATTTACCATTAAACAATACTGGCTCTATGTTTTCAACTTGCAAACAAAAAACAATGCAAACTGATGTAGGCTAGTCACTGGACGCACCTAAATAATATACATTTAAAAATTTATAAGTAATGGCTAGTTCTTACAACTGACAGATCAATCTTTTTCTTTAGCCAGATCAAATTCTTGACAAATTAAACTAGGCATACTTTTGCGAAGCCTTGATAGCTCGTCCACGAAAAGTTTCTTCAAAGCTGCATGGTCTCGCGATTTAATAATTTCTTCAACTATTCTTTGAATATCCATCCCCAAAGCAAGGGGAATCCTTGCAATAAACTCAAATTCGAGCTTAATAAAATTCTTGCGTGCTGAATCATCAGTTTCCTGCAGACCAAACACGTTTTGTTTGTTTTTAAGAGGGACCTAAGCAAGTTCATACTCGACAGCACATTTTATAAATATTTGTGTCACTGTGTCACTTTATTGAAGAACATACCGAGCCTTGATGCAATTGATTTCAATACACATTTCTCGGGCCTCAACAGGAGCATACAGAGCTTCGACCGTGGCACAAGAACAAAAGCACAGCCATTTGGTCTCAAAACATATTGTTTAAAAATGTGCCCGCACACTTCTATTTATATCTAGTGTGGCACGATTGTTACTATCCATATTTGGTAGAGCCAATTATTCTGTGATTAACAAAAGCACTATCCATTGTAACTCTATACTGTTGAATCTCAAGCACATTAATGTCAGACAATCTCCATCCATAGTAAAAGCATGCCACAGGAAATTCATCATAAATGCTAACATAAAACCGAGCACCCAAAATTCTTTGTCAGCCAAGGTGAAATTCACCTGACGATCTGCAACCTCGTAAGACCAGGGATGAATCTTCAAGGTTTCAACTCCTTTTATAAATTTTGAAATGGATGTGTATTTCCCCTTCAGCGACAGATTCCTGACAAGCGACCAGTGTTCTTCTTTCACCTCGCCATTGTCAAGCGACTTCCTATGCAAATGTTTGCTGGGAACTGATCCTGTGCGAAGTACTTTGCACGTAGGAAATTCATCAACATCGCTTGAATTAAAATTTGTTTCACACAAAGTGTTTCAGCATTTTGCATCGGTCAACAATTTCTTGACTTGGTTAGGCCAGATATACTTCCCGCTTTGTCATCTTGTGACATAGGTAATTGTGAACAATAACATCGCTGTTGACAAAAAGCTGTCCTAACCATTCCTTTTCCATTGACAATGTTTAAAGACAAAAGTAAAACACAAAACGCCATTTCTATCCTTAACTCTGATCAACATGCACTCAAAGCAATGACTGAAATAGTTTTTTATGTATGTCCACAACATAATAGATGTGGTTAAGATTTCTTACTATACAGGGAATCTGGTCGTTACCCTTAACTGAAAGTAATTGAGAAATGGGACTGTTTCAATTAACTATTCCCTGTGCTTCATGGTGTTTAAGACATTCTAAAGTTTGAAGTACCATTGACATTCTTGAATCTAAGAATTTTACAAGGCTAAAGCAAAATGCCTTTCCTTCCTTGTAATATCAACTTTACCTGTTTCCTTTTGTTCTCAAAAAATGGAAACACATCCCCGAGGCTTTCACCACAAGGTGTTAACTTTGTTCGCCAAATTTTCATACTATTTGATACCAGTTTCTTTACATTGTCAGCAATTCCAAATAAAACGTGGCTTTTACGGAGTGCAAAAACAATTCATAGAACAAGAGGCTTCCAGAAACGATAGCGCTACAGTTGATGACGACAAAGATGTGGTACTATCACAAGAACTAGGCCCATGTTCCTCCTCCACGATTCCAAAAATTTTCAAGAGTCCATCTGGGAAATTGATCAACAAATCATTAGAAAAATTGAAGAGGAATTGTCCTTTATTTGCCGAAGAACAGTCTGAGTACATAAATGAAAGTAGGGAATGTCTGGATTTGTACAGTAAAGACTCACTTGGCCTAGCTAGAGGAAGAAAACTTGCACATGGCTTCAAGGTGATGAACACTAACAATCTGCTAACCAGTTTGAGTAAAGCAGCCATTTGCCGTCTCTGTAAGGACCCAAAAGGAACCTTGCAGCTATGGCAAGATAATTCTAAAAGAAGTTGTTTCTTCAAATGTCCCTGTTTGTGTGTCAGTAGATGGTACATGGCAAAAACGTTATGGCTATAGTTATTTGCTTGGTGTTGTGTTTATTTTATCAGTTGAGACTGGTGAAGTATTGGATTATGAAGTACAGTCCAAGATTTGTTTTGAGTGTAAGACAAAAGAGAAGTGGAAAAAAGAGTCAGAAAGGTTCAAGAATTGGTATTCTAATTATGAAGAGCATTGTGAAGTTAACCACAAAGGCTCCTCAGAGGCAATGGAAAAAGAGGCTGCTGTAAAAATGTTTCTAAGATCAATGGAGAAATATCAACTTGTATATAAAACTTATGTTGCTGATGATGATTCATCGTCATTTGCTGAAGTTGCAGATGCCTGTTTCAAAAAATTTGGAGATGGATACTTGGTTTTGAAAGAAGATTGTATTGGGCATATCCAAAAGCGAATGGGTTCTAATTTGCGCAATTTTACAAAAATAAAAACAAAGGTAGAAAGTTAGCAGATGGTGGAATGGTTGGAGGATGTGGTAGACTGACTGATGTAATAATAGACTCACTGCAAAAATATTATGGTTATGCCATACGAAATCACAAAAAATAATATTGAGGGGATGAAAAAAGCAATTTGGGCAATATTTTATCATTGCATTCAAGGTGACAATGGGCCAGATGAGGTTCAACATCAGTTTTGTCCTGAAGGAGAGAATTCATGGTGTAGGTTCCAGAGAGACAGAGCTTCCCAGACAACAACCTATGATCAAAGAGAGTGCTTGTCATTAGTTTTCAGGAGAGAGTTAAAACATATATTCGAAAGACTATGTGGTGATGAACTCCTGAGCAGCTGTCAAAAAGGTCTCACACAGAATCAAAATGAAGCCCTCAACAGTGTCCTTTGGTCAAAATGCCCCAAATGAGTCTTCTGTGGTAAGCAGCGCTTGGAATGTTAGGCAGTGCTGGGATTGTGCTGAAAAGACTAGGTGTTTTGTCTTTGGGATCAAACACTATTAAAGATTACAAATCTGCAAATGAGAAAAGGGTAAAGAAACGGAGGCCAAATGCAAAACAGATAACAGAGAAGAAGGCAAATTTTGAGGAAGATCAGGAAACAAAATACAAAAGCAGGAGCAGCTTATGTCTCTGGAGGTTTTTCTATCCATAAAGTGCCAGACAAAGACCTATGCAAAGTTAATGACAAGGATAAAATGGCTGTAGTTTTTATCGATGAAAAGAGCCTTGAAATGGTTTATGTTGAGAAATCAGCAAAAAGAAGAAAAATTCAATAACTAAAAAGACAATTCATATAACCTTATGTACAGGTACCTTTTAGAAATACTTAATTTCCTAATTATATAAGGGAATAATCTAAGACCAATTGGTCACGGGCCATAAAGACCCAAATTTGACCTTTTTTGGTTAATTATTTTGAAGCATTGATGTTGAGTTTGTAAATATGCGCAACCAGAATTTTAAAGCTCGTTTTCTCAAATGAGCATTTTAATACTTTAAGAATAGATAAAGAAAGAAGCATGCAATATTTTTCAATCAAATTTGGTAAGAGGAATTGTTCTTATGAGTTGACAAAATTTTAATCTGTCTACTCTGTTGATAGTTATCCAAGAAAAATGGTTTTTCCAGTTTCCATAGCAACGGTTGCTATGACAATAATTTTGTCAACTCATTTCAATGCTTTCTTTATGTTTAGTAATTTGAAATAGATATAATCTAAATGTAAGCTTACACTTCTCCAAAATTGTTTCTCAAGCATTTTTTATGGTCCAGGTTTCCTTGTCTGTAAAATACACCATAACCACGTGATCATCTTATTTTTATGAAAAAATCTGCAGTAATTGCTTTTGTTGTTTGTGTGAAAATTGGGTGTGATTTGAGTGTTCAAAGATATTCAAAGATTTTAAAAAACATAGCGAAAATCATCTTCAGGGTCGAGGACTGCAGTGATGGATCAGGTCATAAACAAAGCTCACATCAAGCAAGGTTCACTAGTTGCCAATCTTCTCGATCTTGAAAATGCATTTGGAGAAGTACACCATAATTTGAAACCCACTGCACTGTCTCATCATCAGATCCCTGACAAAATACAACTACTTATCTCTTGCCACTCTAATACTCTTGCTATTCCAGTCCGTTGTACTGTGCTTCAAGATGACTTCCTCAGTCCCTTACTATTTAATTTATGCTGCAACACATTCATACAGTGCATAAAAGCTTAAAAGTACAAACAGTTAGGTTTCTCCCCACATGGTCAGAACAACAGTATGTTTCAACCAGTCTATTTTTCAACCAGTCTATTTGTTTATATTCACAGACGATGCTGTTGTTATCACCAGTAATGAGAAAGGAAACCAAATTATATTGCATTGTTTCACTCGCTGGTACCAAAGGGCTAACATGATCATATGTATTGATAAAGCATCACTTTTTGAATAAAGAAATTTTCGTGACATTCTCTTCAGTATCGCCCTCAGCTTTTCATAAACAACAAATCCATCCCATCTGTCTCTCTTTTAAGTATCTTCGTCATTATTTTGACTTTGAAATAACAAACCAAGAACATAAATCTGACTATTTATCATCACTGTCCAACATGCTTAAACAAATCTATTCCCAGCCTCTTCGTACAGAAAATAAACTGCATCTTTATCACAGCTTTCTTCTTTTTAAAATCTTTTGGAAACTTGCTGTACCAGATCTTTCAAAGATGTGGGTTGCCAAGAATTTTTACAACCTCGTATTCAAATACATTCATCAATGGCTCGACCTCATAATAAGTCCTACCTTGAGTAGCATTATTCTTTCTAAATAATGCTTGCCTTGAGTAGCATTATTCTTTCTAAAGACTAGTTTGGACTCCCTCTGCCAAATTACTTCAGTGTAAATCTGTTTTTAAAATACCAGCAATAGCACAAATATACAAGATGATATATATAGGAAAAATACCAGCAATAGCACAAATATACAAGATGATATATATAGGAACAAGAAAGAAGCATTAAAAGCTGTCCAGCAAGAGCATAAAGATTTTCTGCAAAAATCCTTACTTCCCAATAATCTTTTTTATTACATATTTTTTTCCAGGATCTTCCCCAATAAAAAACTTTGGTCCAAGGTACAAACTAGCATGGCTCAGAATATTTTTCAATTGCACAATAAGGTACCTAAACACTATCCTTGCTACACAGAAAAACCTGAAAAAGTGGAACTTGAGCCAGAGCTCTGACTGTTCTTTCTGTTTCTGCAAGAAACCCTCCTAGACGTTATTCCTGGCTGCAAAAAATATCTGGAACAAGGCTGATATACCTGGTGACATAACTCTATCTTCAACCTAAAAAGCTAATCTTTAAAAGTTGTTACTGAATCTATCATCTACGCTTAAATACAAGGCTATCTTTCACCCTCAATCATAGCTCGATAAAACCTCCCTGATCTTCTTATGGAAACTAACAAAAATTACCTCTACATCTTAGCGATAATTGTTGGTTTAAAATCTAATCTTGACACAAGTGCAACAAAAAACACAGCAAGTATGCTCTTCTCTTATCTGATTTACAATGTCAGTTCTGTGTGGAAATGTCCCCCAACCTCGTTTTGTTTCCTTTGTTTATTTTTTGATGTGTGCTTTGTTTCTGCTGGGTTTTTTGTTTTGTTGTTGGAACATGGAAATAGGTGTCAATACCTAGGAAAAAAAAAACTCTCAACCTCGAACTCGATTCTCAAAGAACTATCGCTCTTGAAACTCAACGAAATTGCCCTTAAACTCTAAGAAATCGCTCTTGATACTAAGAGAACACTAAGAACAAAGAACATAGCCAGGTGAAATCTTTCCATTTATTGATTGAAGCCTAATATTGTCAAAGAAATTCTGAAGAAAAGAACTCTTACATTCTTGGCCTCTTACACTCTAATTATTCGTTGCCTATTTCCTTTTTTAGTCTTTGTTAGATTATAAGATTATCATATTTCTAATATATATACAGTCCTCTTAGCCCTGGAGATGCATCTTTAGCCACTCTAGAAGGCTCGATTTCAAACTTTTCCTTTTGAGTTGGACCCAACCATGGTGGGTCTTCCTAGTCACTAAACTTGATTCTTAGCCCCCCTCAGGTTCAATTTCGTGGCGCCGTCTCTGATAATATGAAGAGTAGGCTATAAATGTAGGCTGAATGATAAGGCATAGTACTGAAAGACAAAGGTAAATATTTGGAGTTGACATTTTTCTCTGATCTGGCCCACCTGAGAACAGACAGTCTGGGTCCGGCCCCAGAGCCAAAGTGAGTTTGACATGCATGATTTAGATGAAATGGCGACAGCACTAGAAACCACTGTCAAGAAATTTGAATCAACATTATTAAATCTGGGGTCACAGTTTGGGCGAGAAAATTACAAGGGTGAAAAAGAAAAAATCTGGACAAGTGACTAATAAGCTGAACAAGCGAAACTGGACTTATTGGCAACATCTCAAGTTTCTGCAACCTGCTATGCAACCTTTAAGAGGCAGGGATAATTTGCAGTGGCCAGCTGATTCACCAGAATCATCACCTGTACTTGATGATTTGCCTCTTGAAGAATAATCTTTGAAAGATGAGCAACATGATTCAAATCTGTGCATCCCAAAAAAGCAAATAACGAAAGCTGTAGAGTTGAAGAGGGATGAGATAATTAGTCTAAAGGTATTGAAAGAACCAGAAAAAAGAAAAACAGAGAACAATTTTTTTGCGGTACAGAATTTGAAAATGGCTTTGAAAAAAGCAAACATTTTACGACATACTAAAAGCTTTTTCGTCTGACACTCCTCCGAAAGAACACAATGGAAAATATATACCCAGTTGTGGATCAAATAGGCCAATCAAAAAAACGCAAGCACAAGACCGGTATAGTTGACCAATCAGTGCCGTGAGCCTAAAGAAAAATTACGAATGAAAAATTGAATCTAAACTGCACGCTAAACTGGAAAAACTCAAAACGATCTTCTTGAACAACGGCTATCCTGAAGACGTCATTTTATCTTATACTGAGGAGAAGATCGCAAGTTTTTTCGGCTGTTCAAAAGTTTGGTCCGCAAAAGTGCCCAGTTTATTTGAAACTACCATGGATTGTTTACAGCACTAGGAGAGCCCTTCCATCCATTCAAAAGGATTGCGTTCCTACCAAACAAAAAAGTTCCGTCATTTATAAATTTACGTGCCAGTGTGACTCTGGCTACGTAGGACGCACAACCCAAAGATTGGGGGATAGGATAAAACAGCATGCTCCTTCCAACATATGAAACAAAACTGCCCCTCAAAGAGAACAGCCTCCTCAATCTTGTAGGTCTAGAAACACTGTGTTAAAACAAGTGATTCTGTCATCGGTCAACATCTTTTAGACAACCCAGATTGTGCAAAACTCTATAATGACGACATGTTTCGGATAATTGGCAGAGCCCGGTCGTCCTTCCATCTAGCAGTTTTGGAGTCAATCTACATAAAAACGAAAAAGCCGCCATTGTGTAGACAAAAGGAGTTCGTTTTCTCTCTTTGACTCCATTGGTAATTTTTCTTTAGGCTCGCGGCACTGATTGGTCAACTATACCGGTCTTGTGCTTGCGTTTTTCTGATTGGCCTATTTCGATCCACAACTGGGTATATATTTTCCATTGTGTTCTTTCGGAACCTTATTCTGACGTTTTTGCTCTGAGGAGTGTCAGACGAAAAAGCTTTTAGTATGTCGTAAAATGTTTGCTTTTTTCAAAGCCATTTTCAAAAACAGAGAAGCTCATTTGCATCATATGTTGCTTAAAAGCTTGAAACGTTTCGCCCAAGGAACAGAGCTGTTGCAGAAAAAAAATGTCAGATGTTCTTTTGCTGTTGGAATGGGTATGCTTGAGCAAATGGCCCCAATTAATGTTTCAGAGCATACAGCACCTAAACATGCATATATCCCAGGTCAAAATAGCTAAAGGCCCTATTACACTATCACATTCAGGTACAATTTGCTTCACATCTTTTCTGTGATCGCGGAAAATGAGAGAACGTGATAATGTAAGTCTCCGCTTCAAGTTGCTTGTATTTGCTTGTTGAGTGGAAATTTAATCCATTTAATTCCATATTGAGGAATTTTAATCCATCTTGAGGAAAAAACTTTTGATCACTGTTCAAAAAGATTTCCATCATCTTCAAGTTTTTCAAAGGAGCCGAAATTTCGAGGCCTGTCAAGTGTCCTGCGTCTTGGGGATTTGCACGCATGTGTTTTTCAAACCAGCATTTCTGCACGCTTGCTCTAAAGTAGGCTAATTGTCCTGCATTTTTCATTCATAGTTTTTTGGGTGCTTTTCTATTACGTTTTCTTTTTTATTCAGCTAATTTTGAAATGAAGTTTTGAAACAAAAGGCAGAAGAAATTGACAAAGAAGCAACAAATGCACTTGTCATAATGGCATGTGGCCTTCAAAAGCAATGGTTTGGCCCAATTGAATATTTTTTGACCAACTCACGAAATGGTGAGGTTTTAAAGCAATTGATCTTTGAGGCCATAAATAAATTGACTGAAATAGGGGCTGAGGTACATGCTGTGGTTTTTTTTGGTGCTCCAAAAAACCTTAGTATGGCAGCTAAATTTTGATGCAACATAAAAAACTTAGATGGAGCCTTTTATCACTCATTTATAATAGGAAGAAAAATATATGCAATCTTAGATTTTTGTCACAAGCTAAAACTTGCAAGGAATGCATTAGCAGACATGAAAACATTTTTTAACCGCAAGCAGGGAAAAAATTTCTTAGGAGTTTATACCAGCTCTGTACAGAGTCCAACAGAAAGATATCCTCCATTTGGGGAACAAGGTAAAAACAAAACACATTCAGTGGAAAAATCATAAAATGAAAGTAAGTGTTGCAGCACAAACTTTGAGTCACTCTGTGTATGCACCATTAACATTCTTAAGAAATCTGAATTTGGATTTTAGATCTCAGCCTCATCTATATTGAGCATAAGCAAAAAAGTACTGCAAAGATCTGAATTCCAATTTGAATACTTTCTGGTGTATTATTTTTCACAGGACCAATTGGAAATGTACTTTGCCAAAATTTGAAGTCGCTTTGGATAGAATAATAATCCAACTGCACTTCAGTTTGAATATGCCATACCGCAATTACTCTTGAAAAACATGGTTGAATCTCCCTCAACTACCAACTGTATCAATGTATCAAATAATGATGCAAATAAAATATGTAAAGTTGACCCAAGAGTATCACATCTTTTGCTTTCAACCACCATTTGGCGCTCTGGTGCTTTATATTACATATCTGGATACATTGTCAAAAAGTTGCTTGAGTTTATTGAATGCCCAGAGTGTGTTACAGCTTTGCATGGCCACTCTGAGAGCATGTGTGTTTTTAATAATGTCCATCTTTCAGGTCTGTTTACAGAGTTGTAGACTATGTTGATCGGAAGGTGCGTCTTGCCTTATGCAGGTAGGCAACCTTATCACAAGAAACTAATGCACACATCTTGTCAGATGTTTTATCTGAAACAAGGAACAACACTTTTCAATCCATAAATGAACACAGCAAACAGTGTCATATTTTAGACCAGAACCTGAGAGATGATCATATCTCCATAATAATTATAACACTATTTGGTTATATTCTATCATCAATTTGGACTTGTTTTCACTGAAAAAAATGTTAAAAAGAATGGATCATCAAGAAGACATAAACTCAAAAAGCTAGTAGTTTTATTCCAGAATGAATGAGCATGGTTGGAATTTGTCTCAATGACATCATGACATTTTTGCAGTTCCTAATATGGTGAGTTTAACCTTTACATCTTGATGTAGCTTCAAAGGCATTTCAAACTGTGTACTCTTGTAATCAGTTTTTAGATCTTTTACCATTAATTTATTAAGTATCAGGACCCTAATGATAACAGTACATATTGTACTGATAGGTTATCCTGTTAAAACATTCGATTATTATTATTATTATTATTATTATTATTATTATTATTATTATCTTTACATGCTAGAGCTTACTGTTGGGTTCGAAAGCAACATCGACGAAAACAGTACACGAAAAGCTAGGAAATATAGCGACCTTATCAAGGAACTGAGCCCTGCCTATAAACGTGTTACCTTTGTTAACCTTTCTATGAGTGCCCTTGGCATTCTGGGAACCTCATCTACCTCTCTCTCTGACATGCTACACCAACTTAATTTTGACTCAAATCAAACTAAATCCATCTTGATGAAACTCATGAACATTTCTATCCGCTGCACCTACTATATCTTCTGTCGTCGAAACAAACCATGGCTAAGCCCCGAACTAATTGACTTTTAAATATTGTAATGCAGATAAGCCAATTATATGATGCCTGTAAAAGCGAGTCGTATAATTGTAAATTTAAAATGTATTCAATGAAAATGAGATGTTTAAAAAAAAAAAAAAAAATTATTATTATTACCCTTTACTTTCTAGTCAGGGTGGGTTGCAGATACCTAGAGTTTGTCAAGTATGCTGTGGCATCAGCCCCAGAATTAACACGAAGATACCAAAGTCACATTAGGACTCAATGCAAAATGATAATGTATTTCAAAAAGCTCACCACGAAACTAAGTAATGTTTCAAACCAGCATATAATACTATTAGACTATAATAGTGAATTGTTGTTTGACGTTATTGGTCATCAGAAGATTCGAATAATATCTGATGAATCAAATGAATTTCTCTTCTTTCTTTATTGTTCTATTTTGTAACTATTCACACTCAATAGAGATAGAGAGACTAGTAACAAGTCCAGGTGAAACATAACTTTATGCTGGTGATGAGACCGCTGCTATGTTGAACTCCCACATAACAAAAATTTAATAGGCCTAAGTAACTTACTACTAGTGCTATGATGAAAACAAAATCTCTCAAAATAACTGCTAATTACCTTGATTGATCCATTTTTTTGATAATCTGACATTTCACTGCCTTCAAACTCTCAATTACTCTAAGTTTTATCACAACTTCTCAATTTTAACGACACCGAGCTGTCAACCACCACCACAGCTTTTTGCCAACCAACGGCAGCAATTATGCTTGTGCCATTCACAAACAGCAGAAACAAAAGACCGCCCATTCTAGCCCTATTATTTTTATGACTAAATCTAAGTCAAATCAACTCTCATTTAATTATTGTCTTCAATTTGGTGACAATTATGCCTTCTTCGTTTGATACATTGTTAAGATTTCCTGCTAATTCTGTTGCTATGACATCCGATATACAAAAAGCGTTCTTACAAATAGAAATCAAACCAGCTGATCATGACTATTTACGCTTTTTATGGTTTGACAACATAAAAGGAGAATCTGTCTATTGTCCAGCTGCGTTGAGGCTCTTTAGCCTCAAGCCATCACCCTCAATCCTTGGGGCCTCCACTAGACAACATGTTTCCTCATTTAAGAATGAAGCCCAAAGGTTGTCAAGGTTTTGAGCCGCCTTTATGCTGACGAAATGTCTTTTGGTGTCAAGTCTACCCAGAAAGCACTATAAATCTATCAGAAATCTAAAGAAATTTTGTTGAAAGCAGGATTCAATTTGCGCAAGTGGAAGACAAACAACAAAAAAGCTTTCCAAAATGGTCAATATTTTAGAAGGTTGTCTCCACAAGTCCCCCTAAGACTGTTCCCAAGGTATCAGAGACAACCAGTCCAAAAAGAACACCAATGTTTCCAAAATACTTGGTGTTTAGTGGAATCATGATTCAGACAAGTTGCTTCTTGATTTAAATCAAATTTTGAAATTGTAAAATCTTTGCCTCCAACCAGAAGTTTCTTGTTAAAAATTGCCACAAAGATTTTTGACCTGTTTGGCTGTGAAAGTTTGTTTACCATCAATTTAGAGGTTTCCTTCCAGGAATTGTGCATTGAAAAGGTAACTCGGGATGAGCCACAGAAAGAAAACTATTCCAAGCAGTATGACACCTTAATATCCCAGTTTAGTACCATTACAGATATTAAACTTGACTGTTGTTTCATAAAACAAGAAGCCGATGTTACCAAAGTTGAAATCCTTGCCTGTTCGACACCAGTGAGCTTGCCTATGCCACTGTGGTTTGTTTAATGGTTGTTTATGATCATGGTAAGGTAAGGGTACATCTTGTTGCTTCAACAGCTAAGGTTTCGCCTGCTAAAAAACAAAGTTTACCACACCTTGAACTGCTAAGCACAAATTTGATGGCAAAATTTGCCAAAAGCGAACATTCTGTGTTACACGATGAGTTAGACCTAGTCATAGAAACATACTATTGGGTCGATTCTATGGCCACTTTGTGCTGGTTAAAAAACGAGAAACCCTTGAAACGATTTGTACATCACTGTGTATCGGACATTTTGAAGTTTTCAAACAGGGAAAACTAGTCTAGGACAAGAGAACCCTGCCGATTTACCATCTCAGGGTAAGTTCAACCCCTTGTTGTCTGCAAATTGTTTTTGGCAGGAGGGTCCTAAATTCTTACAATCAGATTCAGAAAATTGGCCCACTTTGCAACCACAAAATGAACTTCAAAGCAAAGAAGCATTGCAGGAAAAGGTGAAATTTGAACCAAAAGTTACTCATGTCATGGTTAGTATAGGTGCAGACCCGGATGTACAACTGAGCAATGTTTTCAATATTTCATGTTACAGTTCAAAAATTAAAGTGTTGCCTACATTCTCTTGGGTTCTGAGATTTATTCAGAATCTAAAAGCAGCGGTAAAGCAATAAAGGTAATAGGGCGAGAGAGCCTATATTTTCATGAAATGGCCACTATTTTAACGGAGGTAGAGAGTGTCATTAACTCGCGTCCCATGGCATATGTTTTTGATGATACTACATATGTAAGGTATATCTTTCCCTCTGACACCATCACATCTCATTAACAGCAGAAATATATCTCATTTACCCCATGACAGGTAGCTGGAAGTGATGAGTACTTATGAAACTCTATAGGAAAGGGCAGAACTCGACAAATTACTTCTAGATCATTTCTTGAAAAATGAAAAAATGAGTACTTGCTACGATTGATTGAAGCTTTCAAGCCAAAAATTCATGTTAAAGAACTAGTCGTGGGAGATTTGGTACTACTCAACGATGATCAGAATAAAATAATGTTCTGGAAACTCTGCAGAATACAGGAATTGATACCAGGCACAAATGAAAGTTTAAAATCTGCAAGAGTGCAGGTATGCACAACAAAGGGTAAGGTCGTTAATCAGGTATTTTGTCAATCGTTGAAAATTGCTTGTACCTTTAGAAATACCTTGTCATTCTGATTCATTGCATTCTGTGCAAGAGAAAGCGACCAGGCAGCCTGCACAATTGCAGTGAGACAGTTCAGTTATAACCAGGTTGAAACGCAGTGCAGGCATATGGATCAATTATTCGTAGACATATTTTGAGAAAGAGCTAAATCACATAAAGAACATGACCACATTATTACGCTTTTGTATAAACATTTGATTGAATACTTATTATACATTTTCAGTATTTTGCTTATCATATTTTATCCTAATCGACTTATTTCTGTTTGATCACTGTAGGGAATCAAATCGGGGTAGTGTGCTTAGAACTGTAGCCTTTCCTTGGGTTTGGCCTCAATCCCAGTTTCCTCTCTTTGGGTACCCGCGTGATGATCATGTCTTTCTGTGGTGATGCCTGATTGAATCAGCTTGCTTTTGAATCAGTAGTAGCGTAGTCGAGGCAAAGAGACAGTTGGGTCATCAATATGAAATCTCTTAAATATATACTTAGTTTGCTTGTTTGTTGCTGAATATAATGTAAAAGTGAAACCACAACTACTCTATGCTTTATTTCGTGGCAAGCTCAACCTTACTTCACAACATACCCTGCCACAAAGTTACAGAGAACCAAACCACTGGACCCTCTTGCAACATGACCAAAAAGCACAGCTTTTCTTTTAACCATGATGTTAAGCAGCTTAGGGATTGTACTCATCTTCTGTAATATTTCTTCATTTCTGATTCTATCCATCCATTTGATCTTTAGCATTCTCAATAAAACCATGGCTTAAAAGCCTGTATTTTATTATTCGTGGTTTTTCTGATGGTCCAGGCTTCGTATCTGTAGGTAGAGACTGACCATACATAGGTTTACATTTAGTTTTGTCTTATGGTTGATGTTACTGTTGAAAAGGTCTTGATGATGTTGAAATGCAGTTTTGCCATTGCACAGCGTTTCTTGACTTCTACACATCTTCCATCTTCTGTAATTTGCCACCCAAGGTAGCAATAACTTTTGACTTGCTCTAGAACTACTTTCTCAGATGTTATTTGGATATTTGTCCCTAGTTGTTTTTTCAATTACCGCCACTTTCGTCTTTTTGGCATTCAACTCTATATTACATAGATCTTGCATACTTCGTTCAGTTTTACAATCATCCGCTTGAGTTCTTCTTCCGTTTCTGTTATGATTATTGCATCATCTGTGTACCTTTTATTGGTGATCTTGATATCATTTTGTCTAAAGCTTCTTGAATTAGTTCTTAGCTTTACATGTTGAACAGGATTGGTGATAGGATACATTCTTGTCAAACTCTTCTTTCCTTTTAAAAGAATCTGGATTCTCCATCATTTGTTCAGACCGTCGCTTTTTCGTTCCAGTATAGGTTGCTGATGAGCCGATAAAGCATACAAACAGTTTCCTTTTCTTCTCAATCACATGTTCACTAAATTTGCGAAGTTGGTAAATACCGTCTCTTGTTCCCTTTTCTGAACCCGAAATGACTCTCATTGAGTTTTCTCTCTGCTATAAATGTTATTCATCTTATAATCATTTCTAATAAAATCTTGGAAGCATGAAAGAAAAAGCTTATTATACAGTGTTCGTTACATAATGTTGTGTTGGCTGCATTTGGGAAGGGAACGAAGGTTGATTTGAGGAAGTATTGTGGTGAAGTACCTGTATTGTAGCAATCGTTTATGATGATAGGGATAGTGTCTAGTCCTGATTCGCCCATATGTTGTAGAAGTTCTGCAGTAATTTGATCTAGGCCAGTTGCTTTGTTTTATGGTAGAAGTTCAATAATTTCTATGTCTTCTTTTTCTCTTCTTTTTTTATTTTACCTTTTTCATATTCCAATTTTTTCTCCTGTATATGGTGATCTGTTGTCATTGTATAGTTCTTCAATATAATATGCCCATCTTTCTGCCATATTTTCATTTTCCGTTAGGAGTTTTCCATCTCTGTCTTTAATGCAGCTTATAGTTTTTTTTGGCTTTTTGTTCACTTCCTTAACTTTCTGATATACAGTTGGATTGTGAGCTTTGTCTAGAAGTTCAATATCTTAAGATTTTCCTTGTAGTATTGTTCTTTTTTTTGTTCATTCTTTTTTATAAAGATTTATACAATATTGAATCAATTCTTCTTTGCGGCCCTTATCAGATATTCACTTTTGCTGGCATTTAAACTAAGTTTAATTATTTTGAGCATATTCGATTTATTTTCCAGCTCCTTTTTACAAATCTCTTAAAAGTTCACTCAGATTTTCTTACATAATTTTTACACTTAAATACTAGCATACATATTTGGAATAATGCTTTGAGGAAGAGTTCCAACAGCTTTTCACATAATAATGGAAAGCGGCCCCAAGGCCAGGAAACATTCCATTACAAAGTCTGGGTGTGCCTTGACAAAAAACACAGTTGGGTGTTAACAGGTAACTGTACATGTATGGCAGGACTTGGATCCTCATGTAGCTGACTGGGGTTGTACCTAGCTGCAGGTCAGATTTATCCTGGATAGGCCTACGTACACTCAGTCGGCCAGATACGCTCTATAAACCCAGATTTACTTAGCAATAAAGATTTACTTACCGGTAAAACAAATGCTATCAAAACAATAAAGAACCCCATTCTTAGGTCACAGATTTTTTGTGAATTGTTATGGCAGCAAGGCCTGTTTCAACTTGGATGCTCATGATCCTGATTTTGCATCACTACTCACACTTGATTTCCTTTTATACAGTTCTTAACACTCAAACAAATGTTAATTTCTTCCCAATATGACAGTTTTGCATACAAGAATCACATTCCAATGCTCTGTGAGTCAAGCCACTCGGTTCTTACATACCGAACAAGGCTTCTTAACTAGACCTGGATTTAATTGGATATCGCCAGAAAGTAAGGCAAGCATGAGAAATGAGTCTCGTTGTATCTGATAGCTGCAACATTTTGCCATAGTAAGAAACTCTGGATTTGTAAAACTTAGTCCTTGGTCGAATAGCGAGAGGAGCTGCGGCTTCAGGATAGGGATCTGGCATGGGCCTAAATGGCGCAAATCTAAATCCCCATATATCTTGTGCATCGTGCTTCAATCCGTTAAGATTTTCGTTGTAGCACATATTAATTCAAATGGCATTCTAACAAGAAACAAACTGGATAAAGTGAAGCTGATGCTAAAAATAACCGGTCTGGACCTACTTGGTGTGACCAAAACAAAACTTAACCAGAATAATTCTGATAGGGAGTTAAAGATAAACGGCTACAAAATGGAAAGAAATGATCGAAGTACAGGTGGAGTTCTGTTGTAACTACAAAGAAACACTGGATGTAGCTCCTTTCCTTGTCAAAAACAGCGTTAACAACATTGAATCAGTATGGGTTGACATAAAATTACATTCACAAAGGATTATAATTGAAGTCATCTATAGGCCTTCAGACAACCAACATGGTCCTCAATCGGTACATTTTTTTTTATCTGCTTAACCTTTTACTTAAGCAAATGAACCAGCCATAAAAATGCAGATAGAGATCCTAACCCAGTGAAAAAATGAACCATGTCTGTTGAACTTTTGATGGCCTTGAATCCAAAGACCCTATTTTTAACGGTGTATTTTCTTTGTGTAGTTTATATCTTTCATCATTTCTTGATCTTAACTCCCTCTCCATGTTGATCTGGTTATTCTCAAGCTCTGCCACTTCATCAGTCAGGCTGATCTCACATTGAACACCCACATCAATACTTTGATAGCCTTCTTCTGCCTCCCCTATACTGCTTTCAGAGCTCGAATTCAGTTCAGTTTTATTTTAAATTCCACTGGATACATACAATTGTTGCAAATTAGAAATAATCCAAGCTTAAAAAGATAAACAATGTAAATGTAAAGTTAATTAATATAAACGTAACATAACAAATACAGAGTAGTGGAGAAACAAGCTAGTATTATACACAGGGAATTATTTAAAGGAGGAAACTTTCTCAGTAGTTTATAAATTAATCGAGGAGAAAGCACCCCCTAGTAAATTAGATGCATTCTGCTTAATTTTTATTTCTAAAAGTAAAAAAGATCATCTGTAAGTTGCTTTGAGTCTTCCACAGAAAAATATCATCTATGTATAGATCAAGTTTAAAAACCATCATTGATTACTAGGTTGTTTTGTAAAAATATTTTAAGATTTTTTTCACAAGAATATTTTGAAGGAGAATTTTCTAATCTCTACTGATAGGTCATTCCAAATTTGTGTTCCATTTGTTCCGAATTTTCCAGTGCATCAATTTTCCAGGCGGACGATAACTTCTCTCTTTTGCTTTTGAAGAGTTCATACCGAGCTTTCTTTTTTATTTGCTTTGAAATTTTCTCTTTTTCTGACTGTGATGTGTGCACAAATATTTTTGGAACCCAATTAGTTTGTTCTGGGTCATCTGATCATTTCCCTTCGATACACAAAATATTTATAAATATAAATTTTAAAAATTACCTATAAAACATCATTTAAAAAAAATATACAAAACCAGTTTTCAAATAGTGTTGTGCCCTACCACTGGCAGCACCAGAACTTTTTTATGACGGAAGGAATTCAATTGGGGAGGGGTACTGAAATATGTTCCTCATGACCTGACTGGCGGGGGCAGGGGGGAGCCCCGTAGCCTTCAGTAATTAAGTAACTCTATATCTCAAAAGTTAGCCTCGAAAGATATAGCAACATTTTACCTGAAATGAAATGCTCTCCGCAAATAGTTGCCCTTGAAATTTGGTCATACGTCCAGCCTTTCCAATCTTTCCTTTGTCTTCTCTCGAAAGGTGTTTTCCCTTTCCGGATGGAATTAAACAGAATGTTTCTTTCCACCAGTTTTTCGATTGCTGCAACCAACAGCACAACAAGTTAATAGTGTTTTCAATTAAATATATCGTTACAAACAAAGTCAAATTTACAATCAGTGTGTGAATGCTGGTGTTTTGCCACGATCCAAGTGTAGCAACGTAACCAAAACAACTTTTTTTAACTAGAACCCTGCGCGCGCATCCAAAGTCACTCCTGCAAAATGTAAACAAGGCAAGAGGTCTGTCTATAGACCATGTGGACTTAGTAAAGAACAATGCAATAACAATAACACTATTTGTCCTAGTTCACTATTTACTGACTTATTTGTGAATTATTTAAATAGTTTATAAAATTCTCTGTTGTGTTGATTTTGTTGAAATTGCTCACTTTTGAAATGAGTTTCAGATTTTTGTGCTTCAGCCTGTAGTAACCTAATTGACTATGCGCAGGAGCATTACTTTATGTGACCCATGTTTATATAGTTTCAGATTACAGTATTACAGTTATGTGTGTAGGCCATTTGAAGTTAATATAAAAGTTATTGTTTCTGTTCTGTTCAACTCATGCGTTGTTCTATCTCCTTCACATCTTAACATTGGTGACAAGAATGTCTGTACAACTCAATCCATTACCACCATTCGACCCGAATGCAGAACTTGGAGCGAGTGTTGCTGGCAGATGGAAACTTTGGCTACGTGATTTTGATACTTTTCTTGTGGCTAGCGGAATTTGAGACGTTAAGTGCCAGAAAGCTTTGTTACTTTAGCAAGCTTGACACAAAATTCGAGAAATTTTTAACCAGTTGAGTGATGTCAACGGGGAAGGGGATGAAGACAACTTTGCGACAACAAAAGCCAAGCTCATTGAGTACTTCAAGCCTCAGAAAAATCAACGGTACGAAGTTTATCGTTTTTGTGAAACTCATCAGGGAGATCAAGAATCACTCGATACTTTTCATACACGACTCAGGCAAATGTCCAGTACATGCGAATTCGAGGATGTAGACTTTGAAATTGAGGAACAAATAATTATAGGGGTTCGATCTTCCCGTATAAAACGCCAAGCTTTGCGTGACCCTACGTATACCCTTAAAGACATGCTAATCGATGGAAGACAAGATGAAACCAGTTCAACATGATATTGGATACCGGATCCACAATCAACGTTATCAATAGAAATACTTTCGAAAAGATGCACGGAGTCCAGTTACAACAAACCAAAATAAAAGCTTTTCCATTCAACTCTTCGAAACCAGTTTGTTTTATCGGAAAATTTGAATCAACGATCACAACAAAATCTCGCTATGGAGTTGCAACATTTTATGTCCTAAAAGATCGTAATGCTGGTTGTTTACTGTCAGCCAGCCAATACAGCACAAGAACTTGGAGTCATAACGCTGAAATTGAACAAACTTTCCATTTCAGCAACCCCTACAAAACATATTGATCCGCAAATTGATGCCATAATTCAACGTTTCAACAAAGTCTTTGAAGGAACTGGTAAACTGAAGAGGTACTCGGTGAAGCTAAACATTGACGAAAAGGCACGTGCACAACCACAAAGGAGAATTCCTTTTCATTTGAGAAAGAAAGTTCAAGAAGCTGTCACCCAGCTGGAAAAAGAGGGGATCATTGAAGCTGTGCCAGAAAACGCGCCTTGGCAGTGGGTATCTCCAATCGTCATAGTACCGAAAAAGGATGGATCTGTTCGTCTTTGCGTAGATATGCGTGTGCCAAATACTGCAATAAAAAATGTACGTTATCCGATCCCTACATTGAATGATATCAGCATTCAACTCAATGGTGCCAAATATTTCAGTAAATTGAATCTAAACCAAGCTTACCACCAGCTACCATTACACATAGAGTTTTATCACTACCTTCAGCACACACGTAGGACTTTATTGATACACTTGTTTCAATTATTGGACAAATGCTGCTATGGAAATTTTCCAGCATGTTTTACAAGAAACTTTACAAGGTATAAATGGAGTGTTAAACATCGCAGATGACATCATAGTGTTTGGCAAAACTCGCAAGGAACACGATTTAGTTTTGCAAAATTGTTTGCAACGTCTGCATTCAAAATGCCTTACGCTAAATCTCAAGAAATGTAACTTTCTACAGAGATCAATTCAGTTTTATGGAAAAATTTTCACAGAACATGGTACGCAGCCAGATCCAGCACGCATAAGCGATCTTCAGAATGCACCGATACCTACCAGCATTATTCAGAATGCGCCTGCTAGGAATGGCAAACTATAGTGCTAAGTACATCCAAGATTTTGTGACTCTCACTGCACCACTCCGAGAGTTGACAAAAAAGAATACACCATTCGTATGGCAAGCAGTTCAACAGAAAGCATTTGAAAACATAAAATTGGCTCTGTCTGAAGCTCCTGTTAAGTCGTATTTCGATACCAATAAAGAAACTTTTGTTACGGTGGACGCAAGTCCCGTAGGTGTATCCGCAATTTTGAGTCAAGCAACCAAGAACAGTGATAATTACAAGGTTGTTGCTTACGCCAGTCGTGGACTGTCCAATACTGAGAAACAATACTTGCAAACGGAAAAAGAGGCTCTAGCTATCGTTTGGGCCGTAGAACATTTTCATTTGTTCCTATATGGCAACAAATTTACTTTGATTACAGACCACAAACCTCTAAGCCGTCTGCGAGGATTGAGCGATGGGTTTTGCGACTACAACCTTATTTGTTTAAAGTGCAGTACAAGGCAGGAAGCGAGAACTCTGCTGATTATCTATCCAGACACCCATCCAGTCAACAATCGCAAAAACAAGAAAGAATCGCGGCAGAGTACGTAAACATGATTACGTCACTCTGTGCCTAAAGCTATGTCGCTAGACGAAATAGCGAGTGCTACCAACACTGACAAAACATTGCAAGCCGCTATACGAACAAATAAGGCAAGCATTTGATCATTTAATGCCTTATTGTGCAATCAAGGACGAGCTCACTGTTGGTGCGAAGGGAATTGTTTTGAGAGGAACACGTTTAGTTATACGAGAGTCACTTCAGCAACGAGCTATAGATATTGCCCAGTCAATTACGAGAAAAAGTATGGTTCCCAGGTATGGACAACCTAGTTCAGCATACCCAAGATTTGTGCCTCACTTGTCAAATTGTCTGCAAACCATCGCCACCAGAACCTCTGCAACAAACTGATTTTCCTAAAGGATCATGGGAAACTGTTCATATCGATTTCTGTGGACCGCTTCCTTCAGGAGATCATCTTTTCGTCGTCATTGATCGTTATTCGCGATTTCCGGAAACCGAAATTGTGCGATGCACGAAAGCATCAACTGTCATTCTGAAGCTGGACACCATTCTCGAGTGAAGAGTTTGCACGATATGTAAATATCCTCGGTATAAACCATAAACCTGTCACACCTTACTGACCGCAGGCAAATGGAGAAGTCGAACGCTTTAATCAGCCTCTCATCAAAGCCGTACAAAGCGCAGTGGCAGACGGAAAGGTATGGCAAGAAGAACTGAACCTTTTCTTGTTCCAGTATCGTAATACATCTCACAGCACAATGAAAATTGCGCCATCAGAGTTGTTATTCAACAGGAAAGTACAAGGAAAATTCCCTACTTTAGAGAAGCATCGCGTAATAAATTGACACAAAGAAGCTAGAATAAACGAGGAACGCAGTCGATCATACCAAGAAACATATGCAAACAAATGCAGAAAAGCCTGGAAGAGCAACATTCAAGTTGGAGATACTGTTCTTGTCCGCCAACAAAAAAGGGACAAGCTAAGGACACGATTCAGCAAAACGCCATACAAAGTCATAAACCGTAAAGGTACGCAGATAACTGCAGAAGACAGTAATCAGCGCCGTGTAACTCTCAAGGTATCATTTTTTAAAAAGTCACTCGCTCAGATGTCGGATTCCGAAGATATCAATCAATCAAATCGAGCCACATACGCTTGTGAACAAGAGGTTCCTAGACCTGCTGAAAGACTAGTTAGAAAACGTTATGCACCATTACGATATGGTGAACCAATACCATTTGACACTATGTAACCAGTATACGAAAAAAAACTTCTTTAAAAGGAGGAGTAATGTAGTAACCTAATTGACCATGCGCAGAAGCATTACTTTATGTGACCCATGTTTATATAGTTTCAGATTACAGTTTACAGTATTACAGTTATGTGTCTAGGCCGTTTGAAGTTAATATAAAGTTATTCTTTCTGTTCTGTTCAACCCGTGCTTTATTCTATCTCCTTCACATCTTAACACAGCCCATGTGCATTAAGCTATTAAATCTCTGGCACATCTTCCTGAATAACATATCCTATATGTGGCAGGAGGTTTCATGGACTCCTCATCACTAATTTACACTTATTCTTTGTTTTCTTTAAAGTTTCGTGCTGCATTGCTGAAACATAAGTAGCAGCATTAACAACCTTTGATGAATTTACATTTTTATCCAATGACAATCAACCTGGCTCGAAGGCACTGAAACATTAGGCAAATTTTTTTGTGCCGTTATTCACACGCTTTTTCCAATGCTCAGCACAAATATGTTCTTTCTTCCAGATCAAACCTGAGGTTTTAAAAATTATATGATACTCAGCCTGTATTTGTTGGTTTTGAGGATGCCTGTAGAATTTCATTGGTTTTCTTTTCTCATCAAGTAAACTGTGATTGTTAAAGCAAAGAGCTGCCAAATCAACAAACCATTTTGTTAAAGCATAACAATAGTAAATGAAATTAAAGCCTAACATGTTAACTAATGCCCAGGTTTCCGGCATGAACAGGGATAATTGGTTATCAATACTTTTGAAAGGTTAATTATAGCTGAAAAAAGCTTGACGATTAAAAATCCATATTTTCCCAAAAACCATAAGTTTTATCAGCTAGAAACTTTTCAACTACTTTTTCACAAAATGCCATATATTTCATGACGCAGAATGCACATGTATAATTTACTGATCAGAAACTCCAGACAACTCAAAATGAAAATTGCGGTGAGCTTTCTAAAAGCAAATCACACATGCAATAATGGAAGATATAAATAGACTCCAGGATGAGCAGAGAAAATTGATGATTAGCAACTGTTGCTATTGTAACCAAGAAAAAGGGTTTTTTGGCAATTGAAGTACAAAGATTTTAACCATCAACTTTTCCTCTGCTCATCCTAGAAAGCATCTTGAAACGTACTTATGTACAAATTTCAGCTTTCTACATGATAAAAATAACAGAAGTCAGAACAAAAGCAGTTGGAAATGGATTCTACCATCAAGGTGCAATAACTTACAATAAATTACAAGAGACATCCGTATTCTGTACGTCAAGAGACCTCTGCACTTTGTGATGGAGCTGCGATGGCTCCCCTGTGTATCTGGTAAAAGAGAGGGGCAGTGCGGGTGATGACTCGGCCTTGGGTGTTGGCTTGAAAGCACGACCCGATAGCTCAGCGGTAGAGCACTTGACGTACAAAGTCAGGGGTCCTGAGTTCGAGCCTCGCTCGGGTCGGTTATTTTCCCGCACTTTCTATTAATTATCTTCGAAATCCTGTTGTCTGTAAACTTTCTCTTCAACCCTATCCAGTGTTGGGGCTGCGATGGCCCTCCTGGTGTGGGCAGTCTTCTCTCACTCTTCAGGTCCTCTGCACTTGGTGATGGAGCTGCGATGGCTCCCCTGTGTATCTGGTAAAAAAGAGGGGCAGTGCGGGTGAATGACTCGGCCTTGGGTGTTGGCTTGAAAGCACGACCCGATAGCTCAGCGGTAGAGCACTTGACGTACAAAAGCAAGGTTCGTGAGTTTGAGCCTCGCTCGGGTCGGTTATTTTCCCGCACTCTCTATTAATTAAACATCCGTATTCAGGAAAACAAAGAACTGTTCTTGAAAGAATTAAGTGGTTTTAAATTTTATTATTTTTAATATTTTGACATTTTTTACTTAACTCAAATAATTATTATATATTTCCTTTTTTTTACCTTTTGGACTCTTTCTTTCAAGGAGTCGTTTCGAAAGCAGTTTACTGTACAGTGTTATATATTGATGCTGCTACGATTTATCTTGTATAAATATTTTATAAATGAAATGAAATAGGGTAAGGAAGTTAGGCTTTCTGAAAGTTTCAAAAGTAAAATTGCGGAAAATCCAATTGAAAGTTTTACTTGATAATTAGTTAGCTGGAAATTACATAACAGATTTAAAACATGATTCTAGTGCAAGGTCAAGTTTTCTGATTCATCATTTAGCCAAAGAATTACTAAAAAAGAAGTAACATGAGTTATTTTTGATGTAAAAGCTTTTGTGGTGGTTCTGATGTAAATATTGCATCAATGTTTTATTCAGCTACATATGTTATTTTAGGCTCTTTTGGTCCTTCTTTGTCTTTCTTATAAACTACATCAGTTCAGTTCAGTTTAATTTTAAAAATCCACTACATACAAAAATCTTTCTAAAATTCTAATAAAATTCTACTTGTAAAAACATACAATTAACTAGAATAAAAAATTACAACAGATGACAAAAAATGACAAATTTTACAATAAGAGTACATAGAATTTCGTATGGAGAGGAATTTCTTAAGGAGGAGCTCTCTCAGTAGGTAGACTAATCGAGGAGAGAGCACCCCCTAAGCTAAAAACTTATCATTCAATTTATGAAATCTTCTAGTGATTCGATTTATCAATGTAAGGAAGAATTATTTTATCAAGGTATGCAAAATTGGTATTTATTTGAGAACAGATACAATTTCAGATCACGACGGAAAATCACTAGTGAAATAGATTGTTTGATATCGGATGGAATGTCGTTCCAGGATATAGCCCCTGTATATTTAATAGATTGTAAGCCATATTGCAAAGTATTCTTGCGCGTCATAAAAATATTCACCTTTGCCAGCCCGCCTTGTATCATACTGATGAACGGTAGACAAAGTTTCAAAAAAATTATGTGAAAGTGAAATAAAGTGAAATAAATCATTTAACTTTAGAATTTTCAATTCAGAGAAAATAGGTGTAGATGGTGATGTAAAATTCTTGAAAGCAATAGCCCTAACAATTCTCTTTTGTAGAAGGTAAATCGGTTTGGTGTGGATGTCATAGGTAAGACCCCAGACAATGATTCCATACATCGCAGCTCTGGTTTAGGCGTCTGGTTGGTGTCATTAATCCATCTATGACCTTTCTCATTCTTTTGAAAACGACAGACATGGTGTGCCCTTTCTATTTCAAAATCATCAGAGACACCAAGCTCAGATTTTACCAAAGCCTTGACTTTCTTTTCAGTCTCATCCCAGAACTCTTCATCAGGATTCTTGGGGACGCCAAGGATTTTCAGGTTATTTCTTCTAGACTGATTTTCCAGATATTCAGTGTGGTCAGCGATGTCCTCAAAACCTTTATTCACATATTACTCAAATCGATCTACCTTTTGTGCTAAGTTCGCTACTGCAGCCTCACTTGCTTTCATCTCAACTTTTATTGAATCGCTATCATTGCTCAGAAATGAAATTGATTTGACAACATCATTAAGATCTTTCCTCAGGTCTTTAATTTCTGATTTGACGCTGTTCATAAATAACTGGAGCAAAGAGCGATAGGCCCGATCTTATATTTCCATCATCTGCTTGAGTATACCAGGTGTGCTAGGATCTTTATTATCCATGACTTAATTATTAAATGTATATCTTCCTGAACGTATTTTATTAAAATTTTGAATTCCAACAACATTAAATTACTAATAAAACTTTACGAGGTGCAATATGCAAGTTTGATTTTACCTCGTGGGAGATTGCAACCATCTGCCATCTTGTTAGCCTCGTGACAAGCATATCATTGCAATTTTGAATTCTAACAGCATTAAATTACTAACAAAACTTTATGAGGCGCAATAGGCAAGTTTGATTTTACCTTGTGGGAGATTGCAACCATCCACACTCTATGGATACTGAATCCTTCTAGCCTTTTTTCCCTTTTTTTGGCTTTTAAACAATCTTTTGGTGGTAAAATCTTGAAAATGGCTTTGAAAAAAGCAAACTGAAAAAAGAAAATGGTATCTTGGCTTGCCGTCGCAGCATCTAGTGTTTGATCTTGTGTCATTTTCAAATTGCCTTTATTTGACCTCATTGCGTACCAGTAATAGTTTTGCAATGAGTCTATTGCAACATCGGTCAATCTCCATCAATTGCCCAGCAACACTTATGGCATCTTAAAGTTTACTTGCTTTTATCTTATTTTTGTACATCCTCAATTTTTGTACATACCCCATTCTTTTCTGTATATCTCCATCTCCATATTTTGAAATCTTCCTTAGTTACTAAATAGTCATATAGCCATATTTTTTAAGCAGGCAGCTTCTTCCTCACCATAAGATGAACAATCAAAATCTCCAACATATCAACTTATGTTTCTCTACTGAGCAAAGAAACATTTTCAGTACTGCACTCTTCTCCATTGCCTCTAATGATTTGCTGTGGTTTATGGAGCATTTATCCTGATGCTTTTCAAACCAATCTTTGTACTTTAAAAAATCTCTGTCCCAGTTTCCCTTTGACCTATATTGAAAACAAATTTTTGAGTTCCATTTTAAATCCAGCACTTCCCTTGTCTCAACTGCCAAAATAAATAAAGTAACAAGAAAAGATAAATGGCCATATCGTTTTTGCCAAGTCCCATTTACAGAAAGATTGTCTTGAAAAATTTTAGATAATGATTTGATTCTTTTAGATCAATTTTCATCTTTTCAAAACCCATGTACAGATGAATCAGGATTGTCAGACTTTCATTCAATTATTGTTACAACATTAAAGGGTGGTTTTGTTAGAAGTGACCCTGAAATAGTTGTGTACAGAGGATACAGCAAATTTGATAGAAAAGATTTCAAGGAGTGCTCAAAGAAAGTCTTAACTGAGTGTTTTGATTTCAATACCAGAGTTGATATATTACTGAATCAACATGCACCAATAAAGAAAAAAAATTGAGCCAATTTTTGGACTGTTGAGGACATCATTGATACCATTTCACTATTGAGCTCAGTTTCTCAGTACACTCCCCTCACAAAATTATTGCACCACCTTGTTCAAAATGGCAGCACTTTTTGTCAATATTTCTACAATACAAAACATTTGAATGCATGAATTGGGTGAAATAGGCATATTTTATAGCAAATTTCGGGGGGAAAAGTTTGCAAATTTTGCTGATGCCATGAAATACCTATTAAATTTTACGAAATGTGAAATTAGAAATGTAAATTTTACGCAAAAACGTTATTGTTTGAAAAAATGTAGACCACGCCTAAGGGAGAAAATTTGTCAAATGAGATGCGAGTCCCTATAAAATTTTTACAGCGAAGTAGTCTTCAGTTTTTGAAAAATTGTTGACCATGTTAGATGCAGCCACACAACAGCTTCAATAACTCAAAAAAGGTTTCTCTAGAGTGCTTCAGTAGTAATTGTAGGAAATTGTGAGCGCTCCTTCCTATCTACCTCTCTCTCTCTCTCTCTCTCTCTCTCTCTCTCTCTCTCTCTGTCTCTCTTTCTCTCTTTCTTTTGTATATTGTTTATTCTTTTGTATATTGTATATTGTTGTTGTTGCGATTGCACTCAGTTGAATAGAATTCTTGCTTACGAACTCGAAGGGAACGACGTGAACTATATCTCTCAAAGAACTCTCGATAGATCCGAACGCCAATCACGAGGAAAGAAGATCGATGGAACGATTCACATAAAGAACAAAGAAAGGTTTGACAATAAATTGCAAGAGGACAGAATGCATGGTAATAAGCAAGAAGACACTAAAGCCAAAGTTTACATTAGAGATAGGAGAAAATAAGATGAGACAGGCTGACAAATTTAACTACCTAGGAAGTATTATAACGGATGATTGAAAATTTGACTCGGAAATGAAAGGATAACTGACACGCAAGAATAACTTTGACTCATTTGATGCAGAATGTGTCGCTGACTTCAAATCTGCTAAAATTTTTCTTCTTAGATTCACTGTTTTTCTGATTTTGCATTTTTATCCGTCAATTACCTCACAGCCTGAACTCTGAAATTTCTTGAAGCGGAAGCAAAATTATCGCCAAAATCTCGGGTGACGTCACAAGTGACATGTTAACAATGGTGTTATGAAGTCTATTACCGCAATGGTGAAAGCTTGAGTGAAATTTTATGTTTTATTGAAAATATTCTGCGATAAACAGACACAAACTTGTCAGGCATTTCATTTACAAGTATAAATAAGCTAGAAAATCCTAGCTGCAGGTCTGCTAAGACGCTAATATCCACATAAAATTTATTTTATGCCCTGATACCTTCGAACCAGCATGCTTTGAGACATTGGAAGAACATCTAAGCTTATGAAAAAAGGAATCAGGTTTCTTTGAAAAACTGATGCCGTTTCTCCAAAGTTTATATTTCTATAACTTCAAACAAAATCCAATGGAAACAGTGGCAAAAGCAATCTAGTATTCTGCTTTGGGTGCAGAAGTAAAAAATTCAAGAAAAAACATTGGGTCATGGGAGCTGCAAATCTGACTAAGAAATTAATTTCACTGAAGTTAATTATCATATTTTAACAGAGGTTGAGACACTATGAAATAACCTAGTCTTGCAAAAAGACCAATCCCCCTTCCACTTCAAAACTGTTTGCAAAAGAAGATAATGCATAAATTGATATTACTATGACATCTAAACAGCAACTAAAACTATTTTACTAAGAAATCATACTACTTGACTAAAAGGTTGTAACTCCAGATTTTTTGACTGCCAGGTGACTTATCAGTTCCAGAAACCCTTCACGCCTGGTGAAAGTGGCATATAATCCACAAAAGTACGACTTTAAACCTGCTTTTACTATTTAATATCAGGAGCTAAAGTAAGCAATATAAAATGCACCTGATGAGTAACCAAGGCAAAAAAGCAGCTAAAGGAGATGCCTGAGTCATTCAAGCTTTCATTTCTCCTTACTTACCAGGAAGTAATACCTGGGTATTACCCATGTGTTTAGAGTTTTCAGCATTGCAAGTAACAAAAGCTGTAAATAGGTGTGATAGAATATTCACATTACAGGATGTGAAGACAAATGTTGAAATCCAATGAAATGTGTACAACAACTTTGCTGCAATTCGTGACATTTTCAAGGTCAGGACTTTAGATGATACCAATTGTCCAGAATGCCTTCTTTGACACTACCAAGTCAACCATGTTTCTTTGCTATAAGAGCGCTCAAAACACATAGGCAAGCCACAACATTCATCTTAAGTTAATTCTGTGCAATATTTTTCTCTTAATTTTTTCGGTTTCTCAATATAAACCAAGAATCTTTGGATCTTACAAAATGGAAATAATCCCCAATATTCCTCAAAAATAGTGCATCCATAAACTGCTTGTTCACAAGACCAAACAAATTCTGAGATTTCCCATCAGAATCTGACATTTCTGTGTCATATTTCTATTAGAAGAATCAGGCTTTCTCTGTTGCTTCTTCTGAACAATGTATTAAACCAAAAAGTGGTATTCTAACTGAATATAATATAGCATCATTTTATATTAAAACTGCATCTTTCACAGATAACAAATATGAAGTTTGCCAAAAGGTTTGGAGGCCAGATGACTAACTTCCCTACACAGTCAATAAATGGCAAAAAGCGACAATTCATTTATTCTTTGCTGAATTAATATCCCTGGCTACATCATTCCAAATTTCTTTATGAGTTCTTTGTTTAACTTGTGTAATATTTCGAAGAAGGATTGGTATAAATTCATCAAAAGTAGACAGACTGGTGACAAGTCCATTCAAAGATTGATCATGTGCAGTTTCTAGATACAAAATGCACAGCAAGTGCGATATTCATAAAATATTTAAGACAAGGAAGACAATGGAAATTTCCAAGCTTTAATCAACTTCAGAATTGATAGTGGCGAAGCAGTTCTTAAAGAGCACTTTGATACAGCACCTAAAAATGCAACATATCGAACAAAATCTATTCAGGATGAAATAATTTCATGTTCTGCTGAAGTAATGAATAGTAAGACCATTGCACAAATAAAAAAGTCGAAATTATTTTCAATTCATGCTGGCTGTTCAAATAAGGAACAACTGTCTCTTGTCATCAGATATGTAGATGGTAGTTATGTTATCCAAGAAAGATTTACGAAGTTAATTTGCTGCCATTAATGTGTATCAGGAAAAGCCCTTAAAGATAAGATCATTTAATGCTTGGTAAATGAATTGAATCTTGATGTGGAAAAATTCAGTGGTCAGTGGTATGATGGAGCAGGGAACTTGGCTAGAAAATATTCTGGTGAAGCTGCCTGTATCCTGAATCTGGATCCTATAGCACTGTTGACCCACAGCGCATCTCGCAGATGCAACTTGTGCGTTTCTGCTTCATTAGCAAGCAGAGTCAAACAAATATCAAAGTTTTAAATGATTCCCCTAAGAAACAGCAGCTGTTAGAGGAAAACATAAAGAAATTCAAACCTGAATGCAAGTTATTGGATGTTTGCCAAACAAGATTGATTTTGCACATTGATGTATGATGTATGAACCCATAGGAGAAATATTTCATCCAATGGTAGCAGCAAGAAAGGGAAATTGTGGTGTGCTGTTGAAGAATTATCTTTTTGGACTATTCTTCTCCAATTCTAATTTTTTGATAACATTAATCATTGTAAGAAATATCCTTGGATATACACATACAGCCACAGAGCAGCTTCAAGAAGTACAAATGGATATTATGAAAGGACTGAAGATGGTAAAAACAAGAATAACATCTTTACAAACAGAGAAGCATAATATTGTTATTAACCATCCACAGTGGTTTCAGACCACATGTAAAATAGCAAACAGAGCAGAGGCTCCTATCATTGCCTACAGAACCTGCAATTTACAAAGGTGCATAAATAATGTCCCATCCTCTGACATTTCCTCTCACTATAAAATAAACGTGTCTATTCCTTTCTTAGACCATCTGCCAGAGGCATTGTTTGGATTTTCAGCAAAAAACTGTTTTGGATTCAATTGTCTGCTCATTGTGCCTGCAATTATGGAATCTGAGTACAATGAAAACCTGTTAATTGGTCGAAAAAGATATCATGAAGAGGTAGACACTTTTTGCAGCAAAAGGTGGATTTTTCTCATTGATGGCTTACACAATGATCCTATTTTATTGTCAGCCTTCTTTTCATCAAAGAACTGAATCATGATTTTTAAAGAAACTTCTATTCTTTCTTTTGTGGATTTCTACAATCCTTTGCAAAATGCCCCTTTTCCCCCATCCATAGCATTTTAATTGCGCAAAATGTCCCTTTTTCCACAGGCATAGCACTTAAAATGCCTTGTCGGTTTGGCTTTGTAGCTCAAGCAAAGTTATAAATAACTCGCTATCTGTATTTCTGTATTTCTGTATTGCTATCTGCGAGACGATCAGCCTCTTTAAGGAACAGAGCTTTATGTGTACTTGAAGCTCTGATTCCAAGCTTGTTCCAATAAAATACAATGCCCTTTGGTTTCCTTCCAGCCATTTGGAAACGCTTTTGGCATCTATATTATCACCACTTGGCTTGATCTCTGAACCTTACACAAATCCCCATTAATCCTCATTCATGAGAAACCATCTCATGTGCCTTTTCCATTCATTATAATTGGAACGGCCTAACAAGGAAAAATCTAAAGTTCTAAGAGTCTGACCCTCTGTATTTGACACCCCAATCAACACAAAATAACAATCAAAATATCAATCCAATTCACACAGCGTCTGGCAATCGCTCTGGGCCCATAACCTGTTAAAAATACTTCAGGCCACATAATGAAAACCATCTATAAACCTTTTAATGTCAACACAAGTAATGCATATTCCTCCATATTTACCATCAACGTGTAAAGGTTAGGCCAAACAACCATGTGCAGGCAGGGCCACCGAGAGGTGGCCTGGGCCCTGGGGCAAAGTCCCGGTTGGGGCCCTAGAGCCGGATACAAAAAAATTCCGGGACCACGCCCTTTATAAAATGGGAAACGCCCATTATTTCCAAACGTTTGCGCAGGTTTGCTTTTTCAGTTGCAAATTGATCAATGATATTGTCGTAATCAATTTGTCTTGCTAGTTTGTGCTCGATCGAAAGAGTCACGAGGCTTGGTAGTCTGTCTTGAGTCATTGTTAAACGTAAGCGGTTCTTTATTAATGCTAGTTTGCTGAAAGGGGCCCCAAAAATATAATATAGCTTAATACAACGAGTCTAAATGCAAACATAACTCACTTGAACGGGTCATAGATTAAAACAAGATTATGGGCTACCTAATTTTTTATCAGGGCTCCCTTCCACCAATAAGTACGATTTTGCGAAACTCAGGGAAACTAAGCTTAGAAGATGAATCCGTAAAATATGTGATCTAAGGTTTATTCAGCTTTTCTCGGGGCCCCAGACTCAATAAATAAAGCTGATAGGCCTTAAATTCAAACAAGACTCAGTGTACGGACCCAATGAAATTACTGCCATTTTACTGTCTCAAAAGAAGACATTTTAAAAAAAATTTCAGAATTATCTGGGGGCCCCTTTCAGGCCGAGACCCTGGGGCAAATTGCCCCCCCCCCTGCCCCCCCTCTCTGCGCCACTGTGTGCAGGTTAGGCCATACATCATTCTGTAACCGAAAATAACAACAACAACATTAAAGAGAGCTGATACTTCTCAATCAATTGTTTAGTTTTTTCTTATTGAATTCTAACATGGAGACTGACACCTCCTTAAGGTAAGAGCTCCTCAAAGCTAAATTGGAGATGAAGGCAGAACAGCCTTTGTTGTCTTCCAGAGCGTTATTTCAGGTCCTGCAAAATATGCTCTACCATTGGAATAAAATGTTAACCTTGAAGAAATCCTCAACTTAACCATTGGCTAGTGCATTCATTATGTGTTGGGATCATTTGAGTGCACAGTATTGCCAGATGTTGTTCAATGAAACGAGTTGTACAAAGCTTTATTAGCTATCATTTTCATCATTTTCCAAAGCAACACTTTGTCTCTCTTTGCACTCTGAAATAATGAGACAACTTTCTCGACTGTGTCTAAGCAGACTGATAAGATCAGAAGTACTTCAAGTCTTCTGGAGGCAGAAAGGTTAAGGCAATGACTAGCACAAAAGAAGTAATGAGCAAGTGGTGCTGCTTTTCCCAAGACATCTTTATTCCTTTTAATGTCTTTAACGTTGGGTCTCTTGATCTTCTTGATTGCTTTGAGCAAGACAGCAAAGGGCATCTCGTGTATTTCAGCTTCAAGCCATAATCATATGAAAGTTGTAGCGCAATCTTTACCAGTTTTTTTACCTTGGTCAGTTGTTTCATGTGCTATGGATGAGTGATAGGATGTTTCTTTTGTCATGAAAACTATGGCTACTGAGATAATATTAAATTCTAGAACAATCATTGGACTCACTTCACTTACTTCAACATTGCGAATAAAAAACTTGGTTCTAAATTTCTTTTTTATGTTTTATGTTCTGTTGGAAATTGTCAAAAATATGAAATTCATGAATGCTTTATCTTTTTTTACCACCAGTTAAAAGGAAACTACTTGCAGAAAGTTACTTTCTACCAGGTGCTAAATATGATCATTGTTTACATGTGAAGCCTTCTCGTTTTTATTCTCGATTATGGCAAGATTTCAAAGAAAGTGGAACAACCAACTTTTGCAGATTTGATTTATTTTTATACTTCACATGCAAAAGCAATCAATTAACTTTTTGCAATATGCCAATGACTGGTATTCATCTCAGGTTTTCTTAGAATTGTACTTAATAATGTATATGTAATTTTTTTTGCAAACCACATAACATTTGAAATTAAAGTTATATTTTTTGTATGCATCTCGACCCACAATTAAGTAGTTTCCTGTAGTCTTAAACAGAACATTTTACCTCTTTTTCTATATTCATTTAGACAAATTACTGGAAACAAGGAGCAAATTAACTACATGTCATTCACAATGGGAGATAAATTTTCTCATTGAATGCCCACTTTGTACACCATTTACAATACCATTTAAACTACTCCAATAATAGTTGTAATAGAAAGACACTCCAGGAGTAAACAAGTCATTGCCATTGGTTTGCCTCAAATTCACGTCCCCAAATCAGCTTGGCTCAGAAAGTCAACAAGCAACGTTTGATAATGTTTATATAATCACTTAAAATTTGCAACCTTGGAAAGTTTGTAAAGAAAATTTCTGAAGGAAAATAACAGAAGTTTTGAGAATTTTTTAATCGAATGAAATAACAGGTTTTCTGATAAGATAATATCTGTTTATTACTAAATATAATTCATTGTACTGGAAGCGGGTTGTCGTTCCTTTTATGGATAATTCAAGAATATCAAACTTTTGCACCATCAAGAAACTTTCCAATTCAATAAACTACAATTCAATACAATAAATCCAATTCAATTCAATTCAAAGAAACTTTCCAATTCAATAAAAATGTAAGCTCTGATATTGAATATGCTTCAAGCCTAAGTTTTTTACTGCCGCCTGATTTTTACCCCATCCTCTAATGAGGAGAACCTGAACCCTGAATTTTTTTTGCAAGATTTGGAAGAAAATAGAGTAGGACATTCTATTTCAAGTGTAACCACCTCAAAATTTTTACCTCTTTGATTTTGCTCAAATTCTGTACAAAGTTTTCTGTTGCAAAGATACACCTGCTGTGAAAATGTCAGCTTCCTAGCTTGAGTGGTTTTGAAATTTGTTGCAACCGGTCATTACTTGTGCCAGACCTAAAATTGATATCTTCCTTCACACTCAACCTATAAAGATGGAATTGGTGTCAAATGGAAGCACTTGTCAAGTTGAAACTAAATTTCCAGTGAAATTGATGCTAGCCTCAAAGGCTCAAGGGCTGAGGTACAATGTTATTTTTTCAATGGCTGACCACGCCCAATTTTTTTTCCAATAAGATAAGTTCATGATAGAGCACCTCATAAAATTTAAAGATTGGGTGGGCATGGGTTTTATCACAATCAATCTCAGAATACTGACAAGTCTTTAATAGATCTGTATCCTGCATAAGCATGACCTACTATGACATTTTTGTACTTTATGACATTGTTCTGTTATAGATGAATATTACATAAGTGCATGTGTAGAGTATAAAAATAAATTGAATGGAAACCTCCTGCTAATTCAGGAAATGAAAACTTTCAATTAATGTCAAGTTAGTGAAAGTTGGTCTAAACATTTTATTTAACTTTATGATTTAGGAATTCCCATCAATTTTAAATAATTTTTCGAAATTGGCTGTTCTTATCCTGTAATTGTCAAACCAGGAAGTCCTCTTCAATAGCACCTGTCTATTACAAGGAAACAGTAAATAAAAAACCAATGTAAGAAACGTGCTTTAGAAACTTCAAACAGACTTCAGACTTTGGTGAAAGCATTTAGTACATTACTGAAAAGGCAGTTTTTTAGTTTACGAGATTTAAAGCCTAAATGAAACTTTAGGGCAAATCGGAGAAAGCCCTCTGAGTCAACAAAAAATAAAGTCAAGATGTGCTCCCTTTCTCAGAAAAAGAAAAGAGTGTGTGACACCCTTGAAAGAAAATTTGATGCTGCATGTGGCTCCTCTCTATCGTTGATTTTGGATGTTTCTTTGGGATGAGGAAGATGAAATGCCAGCAGAAATTGTGCAAAAGCTAATTGCAAAATTTCGCAGCACTGAAAGTAGAAGTGAAAAGATAACAGTTCTGACTATTTTTGTGCAAACATGGAATCAAAGGAAAATAATGGCCACCTTTGAATTATAAGCTTGCTCTCAAAGAATGCATACACAAGCAATGCATTTATCATTGGAAAAAGGCATCCTTGCTGCCCCAAATCCAAAAACTGGAAAAAAGTTGCCAGAGAATGTTTTAGAGGCTGTAGAAAACTTCTATTGGCAAGATGATATCAGCAGAGTTATGCCTGGAAATAAGGACTGTCTAAGTATTCTTCAAGACAGCAAGAAGACTCAGTTTAAAAAAAGACTAGTTTTAGAAAATCTTCAGGAAATTTAACAAACATTCAAATCCCAACATCTATCCATGAAGATAAGCTTCTCAAAGTTTGCAATGGCTCGACCTAAAGAATGTATTTTAGCTGGAGCAAGTGGCACTCATTCTGTTTGCGTTTGTACAATCTATAACAATGTAAAATTGATGATGAATGGATCCATGATGGCGTCTGTGAAAGCCAATGAAGTAGTTCCTGTTAGTCATTATGGACATGCAGTGGCTACGATGATGTGTAATCCAACAATACCAAACTGTCATCTTGGTGAATGCCCATACTGCCCTGGTAAACAGCCCCTGAGAGAGATGATTTTAAAATGATAACGATGTCGATGAAGTAGAGTTTAAGCAATGGACATCTACTGATCGCTCAAAACTAGAGACTTTGGTAGAGCCAATAGAAGATTTTGCGGAAGCATTTATTGAGAAACTTGACACTCTTAAGCGACATGATTTTATTGCAAAACAGCAATCTCAGTATCTTTGCAAACGAAAGGAAGGTCTAGTAGAAGGAGAATTTTTTGTTATAGGTGACTTTTCAGAAATCTTTTCGTTTGTTGTCCAAGATGAAGCACAATCATTCCACTGGAATAACAGCATGGCAACACTGCAACCATTTGTTTATTATTTCAAAAAGGATGGACAAATCAACCACAGCAACTTTGTACTAATATCAGATTGCCATACTCACGACACTGTTGCAGTTCACCTTTTTCAGAAAGAATTGATGGGACATCTTTCAGAAAAGTTTCAGGTGCTGAAAGCAATTATCTATTTTTCTGATGGCTGTGCAGGGCACTAGAAAAACCTCAAGAATTTTTGTAACCTGTGCATTCATCAATATGATTTTGGTGTGCCGGCTGAATGACATTTTTTGCAACAAGCCATGGCAAGGGGCCTTCTGATGGCATTGGAGGCACTATCAAAAGAGAAAAAACCAAAGCAAGTCTGCAGCGACCTAACAGTGATCAAATTTTGTCAACTCTGAAGCTATTTGAGTTTGTTGATTCCCATCTTAAAGGCATCAATGCAAAATTTCTCACTGCTGCTGACTTGTATTCGGTAGAAGAAATTCTTCATGAAAGATTTCAGACTACTAAAACGATTGCTGGAACATAAAAATTACATTGTTTCAAACCAATTTCAAAATATTCTCTTCTTGTCTCAGACAGAATACAGTGAAAGTGAAGTTCAAGTAGTCAAAGCAGGCTGTGGTCATATTGAGCTCAGTAAGATTACTGGCTATGTTGCTGTAGTTTATGACAGCAAGTGGTGGGTGGCATATGTTTCAAGCATTCAACCAGGAACCAATGAAGTGACAATAAGCTTCCTGCATCCCCATGGCCCAAACCCATCATTTGTGTATCCAGAACCTTTTGAAATGCTTGTTGTTCATGTCTCAGACGTACTTGTGCAACTTAATCCGGTCACTTTTACAGGTCGCACCTACACATTATCAAAAGGGGAATCACAAGTAGCAAGCATGTCATTACAAAACAGATTACAGATGAAATAATTTTCTGAAACAGAAATTCTCTCTAACTGCAATGAACATGACACTTGATATTAAAATCAAACTACCCCTTGTATGCATTGCATGAAGACTTACATTGACTTTTAACCTTTCAAGATAATACTCATCAGTATTCTGAGACTGATTGTGATAAAACCCATGCCAACCCCAATTATATATTTTATGAAGTGCTTTATCATGAATTTATCTTAATGAAAAACATTTTTCATGAAAATTGGCGATGCCATTTGGGTGTTGTCAGCCATTGAAAAATAACATTGTACCTCAGCCCTTGAGCCTTTGAGGCTAGCATCAATTTCACTGGAAATTTAGTTTCAGCTGGTCAAGTGCTTTCATTTGACACTAATTCCATCTTTATAGGTTGGAATTGCTTAGCTAAACATAATACTAGATTTTAGACAAAATCCATGACAAAAATTTCAAGTTTGGATATTTTTGTTACACTTGACATAGAATGTCCCGAGTAACTGAACATCAGTAGAAAAATGGATTTGGGGTCAAGGCCTCTTTCAATGAAAACTATGTCATGAAAGTGATGAAATTTGAAGAAGAAAAGTACAATAGTTAACTCTGTACAAAGAAAAACAAGGCACATATGGCTATTTTTCTACTTTTTAAAGAATTTGTTCAATGGCCCGGATATCAGCATTATATCAGCCTTCCAGATCTTGTAGTTGGAACTTTTATTTTTTTTGTAAAACATGCGTCAAAGGTACCCAGCAAATATCATCATTGTGGGGCCAATGAAATGACCTGGCAGGCCCGTACGGATGAATAAATTTGCAACAAAATACTTGAAATACATGGATACATGCAACAAAATCTGAATTCTCAACCTTTACTACTGTTGGTTTCTGTAGCAGATTGTGATGGAGGACATATTCATTATCATCACTGCATCTCTGCAACAGTATTTTCTGCAACAGGCACAAATTGGTGAAAAGTGCTAGTGCCGGGAACTGCATATGTTCCATGAAACCTTTTCTCTAGATCTATACGTTTCAATTTGGTGGCTTCTTCTGAGGAATAAAATAACGTTATTTCTGCAATGTTCTCACTACAAAATCTGAACATATTTTCGGCAGATAATATTTGATCAGAAATGGTACGCTGTAAACTTTGGCGGTAAGCCCTTAACAGTTCCACCTATATTGTCACAAGGCTGCTTGCCATGACTTGTGGCAAAAAGGACCATCTAGCAAAAAGACCAAAATCTTCCTATGCTTGGAAAGTTTTAGAAAGTTTTTCCTATAGAAAGTTTTTGCTATTCTTATATACTAGCCTTTTACCGTGTTCTCCAGATCTTGCAAGACAAGGTTTTGAACTTGATGGACATCATGATTGTGGTCTTCCATTAGGAAGCAATAAGATTTATGGCATAGGTTTGCTCCATTTTTGTAATATGCTACAACAGGATGCAGAGTACATTTAAGATTTGTCCAATAGAACCTTGGACCTCATCTTGAACTACAAATTTGTAATTCTCAGCAAAATCACCTAAGAACAAAGCCTCTGATTGACTCAAATTTTTCTTCCTGGCTTTCAAATACCTTGCCTGCAACTTTGCAAGGAAAGAGTGTACAGTGAGCTTTTGAAGTTGCTCTCCAACAAATTGAAACGATCAGTTGTTGTCCATTGACAAAATTCAATTGCTTCATAATCATCAAAATTCTTAAGGAGATTGCAAAGGTGATTCCTCAAGTCAAAAGAAGTTTTAGGACACTATTGACACTTGCGTGGCATACAGTCTTTGTAAAAAAACGATCAATGTAAGTAAATTGTACCAGGAAAAATTTTAAAATAATTAACAATGTTTCAAGCATAGCCCGTTATCAAGTGAGATATAAAAGCGATGATAGAACTAAAAAACGTTGAAGGAATATGGAATTCGACGAATGGAATAAGAAGACGGATGTAAGAGCATGGAAAAAGCTAATAAAAATAAATATATATATATACATATACGCAAATACAGAATTTATGTTTATGTATATATATGCACACTAATATGAAGAAAAAGAAAAAACAAAGAAAAAGGAGGAAAGTTTATTGAAAATACGTAAACTGTTTATTAAGTCCAGAAGGATATAGAGTTCCAAGTTTAAAAATTATCCGTTTTTCCAGTGACTTTCTCTTTGCACTGTCGGTTAGGGCAAACAAGAGGCCAAGAACTACCATGTCATCTTCTGTGTGATTCGCCAGGTTAAAATGTTTGGAAATGTTGCTATCAGGATCACTGTCGTGTTTGTTGTTAAGGTGGATTTTGTTCCTGACATTACGTAAATGCTCACCAAACCTGCTGTTAATCTGGCGTGATGTTTCACCAATATAAAGAATATTACATTTGGTGCAAGAGATGCAGTATATGACACATGAGGAAGAATGGGTGAAGCTTGATTTAACAGAACTTGACTTGTTACCATTAGAAATGGTGGTAGATGGGTTGATATGGTTGCAGGTTTGACAGAGATGGTGGTGGCAAGGTGAGGTACCAGGAGATTCAGGTGAACGAAGGCTGCTGTGTACAAGGTAGTCTTTGATGTTTTTATCCTTTTTGTAGGCCAACAGAGGCGGAGCTTTGAATATTATTTTTGTAATTCAGTCGTTGTGTAGAATGGAGAGGTTGTTGTATATAATATCTTTAATTTGTTTGTTGAGTGGGTGGTAGGTGAGAGCAAAAGCTATACGGTTATCGGCATTTGTTCTGTCGAGCGGTTTAAGGGCTTCATCCTGAGTGATGTTGTTGACTTTAGCGATAGCAGACATAGTTATCTTTGCAGGGTAGTGATTGTGATGGAGAAAGGATGTCATTTCTTTTGCTTTTTTTTAAAAATCATTAGTGTAGTTAGAAATTGTTAGTGTAGTTGATGAAATTTAGTAGAGATGCAAGTGGTAATGATGTAGCTCCGACAATGTCATCAATGTATCTCTTGATTGGCAAGGGAAAGGACTGTGATCATATGAACTGTAGATCAAGTGTTCCTGATAACCAACAAAAAGGCAAGCATAGCTAGGACCAAGTTTACTTCCCATAGCAACACCAGTTGTTTGAAGGTAGAAATAACCATTAAAAGAAAATGCATTTGTAGTTAACACAAGCTCGGCTAGACGAAGAAGAGTGTTGGTAGGTGGGGTTTGTTTAGGGTGTTGATCGAGAAAAAACTTTAGTGCTTCTAAACCATCATCATGAGGATGGCATGTATAAAGTTATTTAACGTCCATTGTAAATAAATATCTGTTGGAGCCTTTAATTTCGAAATCCTTGAAAAGAAGCAGGGCATGCGATGTATCCTTGACAAACGTAGGCAGTTGTGGTTGATGGGCGTAAATATGCTATCAAGGTAAGCTGCAATTTGTGATGTTGGACAGGAGACGGCTAATACAGTAGGACGGCCAGGGTTATCAGGTTTGTGTATCTTTGGGAGCATATAGAAAACAGATGTACGGGGATGTTGAAAATATAATTTAGTAGCGTTTTCAGGAAGATTGCCAAGACTGATTTCTTCTTTAATAATATTGATGACGGTTTTTTTGAAAGATCTAGTAGGATTGGTAGTTTTTTTGGCATAGGATGATGAATTTAACTGTGAATCGCCTTCTTGAATATATAAATCTTTACGCCATACAACAATACGACCCCCTTTATCTGCTGGTTTAATAACAATATCATCTCTTGATTTGAGGTTGTGGTGTCCAGTTTGACTTAGTTTGAAAAAGGTTGTTTATAATAGCCGCTTGATCTGATAATGGTCCTATAGGAGTAGAAGAGAAGCTGTCAGAGTTCTTTTCCTTGAAAAATGCTTTAAGACGGAGGCGGCGAAAGAAGGATTTGGTATCTTGTTTGGTTTGAAACTCGTCGATGTATGAACAGAGTTGTACAAATTTAAGACCTTTTTTTAAGCACATCACGTTCATCAGATGTTAATGGTAAATCCTCAGGTATTGTTTGTACAATGTTTTTGGTAGGCTCAGCTGTAGACAAGGAAGAAACGGCATTGGTGGAAACACAAAGATGATCAAGTTTGTTGTTTTATACCGCACACATTTTAGTATATTTATACAGTCTTTGTGTTCAGGATCGCATACAATGAAGCTGAATAGCTTTTTATAATTTTCAACAATCGGAGCAAGAGCCAATTTTATAGTCTTGTGTATGGTGCATACACATACTGTGCAAGAGTGCACCGTTTAGGTCTTAGCGAACAGAATTTAGAAAAACTTATCTGGACTTCTGGAAACTTAGCTTTGAAGGAGGTATAGAGCTCTCGTAAATTACAGAGAAGAAGTCGCTCTCAAGCATGCTTATTTCTGCCTATGCTGACATAGTTATTTCGATCTGGCATATTCTTCATCATGGTCTTGAATATTCTTCATCATGGTAAAAACTGAATACCAAATCAGCTGCAGTATTTGAAAGCCCTCTACTTTTTTGGATCTGGGCAGGCTAGGATCCCCTTTTCTTTTGCCAATTTTCTTGCTGCCTGAACAGAATATTCACATATTCAAAAAAATCCAGCACATTCTTTGTTTGTCCAGCTTGATGGTACAAGCATTAAAATTTGAATTTTTGTGCATATCAAGCATCAGTTCGTCAAAAGCTGCAGCTTTCTCTAAATTTACCTTATCTTGTGGGGTATCTTTGAGCTCGAACACATGTTCAGGAACAATCGATGTCCTGGCAACTTTCTCTGTCAATGTAGTTACAATTGTTTCAAGCTTACGTTTTTCAGCTTTTAACTTTGCTTGGGCTGGTTGTGCATAAACTTACTACGATCAGCCTCTGCTGAAACTGATTACTTAAAGTGCATATGACACGAAAATCTTTATTCGCCCCCATTACGTAATTGAGTATGCTGATAACGAAAATCATCATAAAATTTTCGAAAAACAAACACTTTCGTAATTACAGCTGTTTCAAGGTCGATTTTCGCTTCAAATTCTGTCACAAGGGATTGGGTCGAGTTTGACAGGAAGTGACGTAAAGTGGTTGTGTTAGCGAAAATTTAGATTGCTAACTAACAAGAAGTTATGCGGCGGAGTTTTACTTGCGAGTTTATGAACATGTCTCACGGCAAATATTCAAGCTCGAGGGCGTCAGCTTTTGACGTAAGTGAAGGGGAAGAGCTTTTAGGTGCTGCTGATGGGCTATTTTTGCCTTGCAAGAACGAACCAGTCTTTTTTCTGCGGATAATTCAGACGCGGAACCAGGCGAAGCTGGCATGGCTCGAGGCTTTCATGACCGGGCAGAGGACGAAGATGGAATACAAAAATCCCAACAGCGTGATCGATGGCGAGGAATTATTACTTTGAGTCAATGGTGAGTGAAATAAGTTGTCATTGTGTTTTTTTGTGTTATAAATTCAGTATTCCCTGTACATCTCGGCTGTTTTTAGGCCACCATTCCCTGACCAAAGCGTCTGGCCTATTGCGTTGTATGGGCGAATGAAGAATAAGTTATACAAATACTGTCTAGTTGTTATACTGTATAAGTTATACTGTCTAGAAATACAAATTCTGTTTGGCACCTTCAATTCTTAGAATTAGTAAATTTAATATTTTATTTTCATTAAATCTGGCAGAAAAGAGTATACTATATACATATAATATATATATGTAATGTTATGATCCTGCCAATTCTAAAGAATGTAAGAGAAACTCAAATCAACCATTATATTAAGTCATACAATGTTTTTGTTCAATAGGTATCTCTGTGCAATGGCATACAGTCTTGGTGTCTGTCAGAGACAAACGTAGATACTTCAATTCCAGAACTTCGGAGAGATTCAAAACCTTGTTGATGCCAAAACAACTCCATCTGTGCAGAGCTTCCGTTAACGCTGCTTGCCTGTGAAGAACGAGAAACACAAATTTCAATGTTTACATTTAACAACAAACATGATCCCAGATTAATTTTTTGGTCTTTGACCAAGGCTGACCAGGTCAAAGACCACTATTTCTGTTATACAGAAACGACTGACTCCGTGATTTAATTGAAAGTTTTTATATCATGTTTTGTTACTTGGTGACTTCTGTTTATTGTTAATCGATTCTCACTTGCATTTTGAATCTTTATCCTATAGAATATCATTTCCCTGCTTCTTAAATATTTCTTGAGTTGCCAACCCCCTGCTTTTTTAGTTTCCAAAACCTTTTTCGCTTTTATATAAAATGTTGAAGTAGTTTACATTTGTTTAAATGGTTTAAAAAAATAACTGCAAAATTGAATATTTGGGTTATTTTTTTGTATTAGAAACGGTGATATGGACCCCACACAGAGAGACAAGGAGTCCCTTTTTCCATAAAGCGAGTGCCCCCGGTGTTGTCGAGTCATTATCAATAACGTATCTTAGCTGTTAATAGAACGTTGTTAGGCAGTTATAAAAAAACAATAGGAAACTTATTACTCACCATGCTTTTTTCATTCTTGCTTCGTTCTTTGTCTTGTTTTGGTTTGCGGACTGAGGGTAGAGCATCACGTCGAAAAAATGTTTTGGTATTTTCGGTGTCAAAACCAGGAGGAGAGGGAAATGTACGGGAAAGATCAGTCGGAAAAAGGTGATATTGAAAAAGATGATGGCTCGATATCTTTACGCTGCATTTTTAATAAGTAATGCCAAGCGGCGAAATTCTGTTGGGGCAGGTTTTCCAGGATGGTAGTCAAGCACAACGGTATCTTTCTCAAGGGGTATTCGTTCCATAAAGTCATGCACAACACTTTATTTCAATTTTTATCAATTTTATAATGAACCAAAAAAATTTTCTAAATTACTTTCCGACCTTTGATGGCATTGCTTGAGTTATCTAGATAAAACTTATTACAATTATGGAGAAAAAAAATCTTTAGGGGGACAACAGTAGTGCCTGCACATAGTGAAACCATACAGAAGCCTTGTTCTATTCAACGGATACACAACCACTTTACGTCACAGGGGTCACGTGACCACAGGTTCGACCGCGTTTTTCTTGTGACACATTTTAGCTCGAGTGGGTGTCGAAAAACCCCGTTTTTTGGGAAAAGTAAGTCGCAAATGAAAAAACTAAGTTCACCATCGTTACCAGCGATGTTTCTTTGATGATTTAAGCGAATAAAAATTTTCGTGTCATATGCACTTTAAGCTGTGAAATATCATCATCTTCCAGAATTTCTTCATACTCTTATCCATCTCAGTTTCAGTAAGAATGCTGTTAACAACCTTTCTGCAGTTACAACAAAGATTTTTTCTTGGCATTTTTTCGTGACTTTGCTGCACAGTCTTTAATAAATTCCATGGTAATACTTCCTAATGACCCCGTTGAATGATTAAATAATAAAAGGTAAAGATGGTGCATACCATTGGAACATAGGCCGATGAAGTAAATACTAAAGAGACTCAGATATGCATACCTTTAACTGGTTTGTCTTGTTTTTTTAATGGATCACAACAAACTCTCTGAAATGAATCAAAGCGCACTAAATAATACTGCTTGTGGTGATTGCAAAGATTTCTTATGTCATCATTTGCTTCAGTTCTCAGGAAGAGAAGATCTTTTTCTCTGTTTTCCAGATCAACAAAATTGATCAAACTCACCGTCTTAGAAAACGTTATGACAACTTTCTCCAATTTCCAAACCTACTGGACATCGAGAGGTAAATCAGTTTTGCACATGTCTAGGATACACCAATTGAATATATAAGATAATAGACCTGTTTCCTCTCTTAGATATTCAATTGGCCATTTTTGTCTAACCATCTAGTTGCATATGACCTGATAAGCTCATTTTGATCTACCTGCACATCAGAGTGTTCAGAAGGGGAAGTAAGCACAGCTGTTCTTGTTGCTTCAGTACAGCCTATCAAAAGCTTGAATGAAAGTAAAATGTGTGCTTTTGTTGTCATAATTATGTGCAAATAGAATCACAGTTTCTTCGATCATTCTAAAGCACATCTCTTTGTAAGAACAAATTGGGATCTTGAGGCTTCTAAAATCAAACTCGAGTCTCTAATCATACAAGTGACATTTTTCAAATTTTCAGTGGCAGATTCAAAGGATTGGAAATTAAAAAAAAAATCACTCAGAAGATTTGAAGAGCCACAAAGTCAAGTCAGACTTCTTGGCAAAATGTAGACTGACACCATCCTTTTTCAGTAACTGAATAGGCTTACTGGTGTCAGACATGGACACTTGCATGCCAGTAGACTCCAGTAGGACATCACCACAACTTGTTGTTTAGCATGATTAATGGGCAGCTTTTCTGTTGTCTTTTTGTCTGAGATCTTTGCACAGTCAAGATTTCAGGAAATTTTGGATTTTCTAACTTCCATCCATCAACCTGTCCAACTTTTGCCAAACCCTTTGCCAACAAGCTCTTAGAGGAATACAAAGGTTGATTTTAAATCTATGAGTTGTAGGTTTTGCTTGATATTTTGTTTATCCTAAGTTCTGTTTTCAGATTATTTTGACAGAATTTTATTTCCTGTATCATGGATGACTTATACAGTACATTCTGCACTGTACTGAGTTTAAAGCAGTTTTTGCACTTCAAGGTTTTGATCTCGAGGTCTGCAGTGCCCTGGCTCAGATGGTTTGTTTGAAACTCACAGTGTTCTGAGATTGGATTCTTCAAAAGGTCTTAAAAAATACATACCTCGAACATGATAACAAAGGGCAGGACCATAGTTAAAGCCCCATGTTGTAAACTGTAATGGAATGGCAATTTTGGTAAAGAGCATATCTAGATCAAAGTCTCCATTTTTTGGGCTTCAAGAAACCCAAGTAGAGAAAGCACTTTCAACCCTAGTTAACATTTTGCAAAATTTTTACAAAACTCCTTCACTTGCTCTAAGTTTAAATCAGTATTATGTTTCCTAGCTTCTTCAAAGTTTGTAACCTTATTTTCAGATTTCTGTATTGCTCCCAGTTATTCAGTGATGCCAGCCAAAATGTCATGATTAAAAAAATGATTTGAAGAATCAAAATCTTTTATAGATAGCAAATACTGGATTTTACATGCACTTGGGTTATCTAGAAAGGCAGCTGCATGCTTCTCAATATCAAATTTGCCATATCGCTTTACTAGTTTTTCATTCAAATTTGCAAAATTATGGAAAGACCCCAGGAATAGTGTTGATATCTATGAGTAGCTCAAAGGGTTTAAATATTTTACATTCTGAAACTGGAGGGTAATCGATCCAACTGAAACAGTCATCAAGAAGTGATACAAATGAAAACATCCAAACAAACAAGGGCTCTGCAGATTGCTCAATCTCAGTTTGTAAAATGTCAAATTTCATTGTATTCCTCAAAAAATGATCTTTTGGAAATAATTCATAAACATTTTTCCAGAACTTGTAAAATTCACTGATCTCAATCTTCTTTACACTAACACACTGAGCCAGACATTTATTGAAATTAATAGGCATCTATGATAAACTCATTGCAACTAGTAGTTTCATGAACAATTTTTAAAGCCTTGTTGAAATAAACCATGGCCACTTAGAATTCATTGTTTGCAGCTTTTAACACAGCCAGTTGGTTAAAGACCTTTCCGAGGATAGTATAATTTTCTGGCAAAACCTTATCTTAATAATCATAGCAAAGCTCTGCCCTTTTGTAAAGCTTCTGCAAAACTACCCTGGCATGCTAAAGAAGAGCTAGCAAGGCTATGTGTTGCAATTTTATGATACTGGCCAATTATATTGCCTTCTTTGAAAACTACAGCATTCAATGTGTGTTTACTTTGATTTAAAAATCCAGTATGGATACAACGATTTGCTGCATTTTTCAACAAAGGATTGCAAAATGGCCTCAAGGAGGTAGATGAAAACTTCTCAAAACCAGAGGACTTAATTTCAGAAAGATTTGTAATTTGACTGTAAGCATGCAACAGTATTTTCTGTGCATTCTTCAAATATCCTTGTTCTATTAGCAGTTCTGCATGTATTATAGAATGCATGTATGATTTTTCGATCTACTCGTGAGTAAGCTGTGGCTACAAAAATAACATCTTTGTTATCCTTAAAGGCATTGAGTCATGATATAATGGATTGGGTATACCCTAAGTGCAAAATCCGCTGAGTCATGATTTTCATGACTGCGATGCTATTGGTTGACCTGGAACTGGTCACATGAACTCACCTCGTACTGATTGACAAAACAATTTCCATCAATAGCAAGTTGTCAACAGCGGATGCAAATATCACATGAAATAGCAGCGATCACGCCGACCAAATGACCCCCTATGACCTATTTACCATGACTGCCTTTAAGCTTGTTTATCAGAATAGACCCTGTTCTCAATCTATTTGACAACAAGGACGAAGAACGGAAACAAAACAGTTGTTGTTCCAACATCACTCTCTTCAGAAATTTACTGTGAGACATGATCGTAAAAAGTTTTCTTTCGGATTTCAGAAAATTTTCAGGATTATGTAAAGATTTATATCATGAAGCAGTTTATTGCGATCCTTCCAGAAGGCAAGGCAGTCACTTCTTTGCAAGATCTTGGCACCTTTTCCTTAAAACAGCTCAAGCAAGTATTGCGGTGCTACAACGAGAAGACTTCCGGGGTAAAAGCTGATTTGGTTCTTTGGGTTTATGCCATCTTCTGCCGCTTGAAAGAAAATTTCTTCGTCATCCAATGCCACTGAGTCCTCGGCAAGTAATTCATCAGGGGCTTGAACATATGATGCCATTTTCAGTAGAAATTGCAAGCATTTGCCTTGGACATCTGACCTTGGAGGAACATCACCATTTAGTTTTATTCAGCTGTACGATTAGCTTTTTATTCATACACTGAAATTCAAACATATTTTGTTAAAGAGCACATCCTATGAGAAGCTTGAATCCTTCCAATTTTTTTTATGAAGGCTCTTACAAAAACATTGAAATATCCAAGGATGAGAAGTTCACTTTTTTGATGTGCGTGTAAAGGCTTTAATGAAAAGAACTCTGTATAAGCCCATTGTTCAAATTTCAAATACTTCTGGTGATGTTTGTTTTGCAGCTTGCACATGTTTTATTTGCTCTTGAAGATTTTAACCGCAAGGGCCTACAACAGTCTCCAACCTGCCTGGAATGTTCCAAGTGCTTCAACACAAAATCTTAACCCAAAGCAGTAATAATTCAAAATTCAATAATTCAAAAAATCAAGTTTGGGAAAGATAATGGTAATCTGATGCGCCTAGATATAATCTCTATAACCCAAAATCATCTTGTGATAGGCAACTAGATGAAAGTAATCTTGTTATTTTGAAAACAAAACTCTCTTCTTTGATTCCTAACAGTTTTTTTTGTTTCCATGACAAAGATACAAATCAAAAATCTGGACAAAATGAACTATCTTCACCAAATGAACCATTATCTCTTGAAACGGTGTGCTCTTTCGATGCGCCATTTGAATCTGCAGATGTTGAATTACTTGAACTTTCTGAATCTTCCCCTTTTAGTGATAGATATGATATATCATGTAATCCTTTTAAAGAAATGGTGGATATTTTTTGTGATAATTTTAATTTAACCGAAGATAAAGTTGATGCTATTGAGAAATCTACTGGTGGTCAAAGTTTTAATGAAGAATGGAAACAGCAAGGAGAGTATAGAATTACTGCATCCAATTTTTATTCTGCTACTGTGAACACTGTGGAGCCATCTACTAAATTGAAATCTATGTTTTATGCCACATTTACATCTGCAAGTACTAATCATGGAAACAGATTTGAAAGCCATGTGAGAGATCTTTATAAAAAGACCATGATTGATCAAGGTTTTCCAATTAATGTTGCTGAAGTTGGTTTAAAAGTCTCACATACACAACCTTATCTTGCTGCTTCCTTGGATGGCATTGTATCTTGTAAAAGTGAAAAATGGGGCTTAGATACAATGCTCATTTTCTAAATATAATTCTTCTTTGGATGATGCCATCAAGGACAGAAATTTCTTTTCAAAACAAACTTTAGAAGGAGTGAAAGAACAGGACAGTAATAGAACATGTTTTGGTGTTCAAGTTTTGGTGAGTGAAAGTGAAAGATGTTCAAGGAGAGACGTTTTGTGCTAACCTGAGAAGAGGTGATTTTGTGGTAAGGTTTGGTGATAACAAACTACTATTTATTGAAAGTATCTTCTATGATGAAGAGTTAATTTTAAATTTTATTTCACCAAGGCTGAAATTCTTTTACTGTAGAGCTGTTCTCCCAGAGTCCTTTACAAGGAGAGTTCGGCGTGGATTGAAGCTTTACTTGCAAGATGAAATGAGAAGAAAAAGGCCAAGAAATAAAAATTTATGTTAAAGTTTGAAATTTAATATTCTAGGCTTACAAAGTCCTTTAACAAAGTTATTTTGCATCAAGAGCATATGGAGCTCCAAACACTTTCAACTTTACAGATGTATGCTAACAAAGTTTGTTCAAGTGCAAAAACAATATTACTTGGAAGAGAGTATAACATTGAACATTTCCTGATGAAGGGACATACGTAAAATTCTGATTTGCAACTTATTACTGTCTTGTTCTATGCACATTGAATATGGCTCTGAGATCAAGGTTAGACCCTTTAGATACAAGGGTCAGTGGTTTGGGTCACTGATATACCAAACAATCACTTGAAGCGAGGACAGTCGGTGTATTATCAAGCATAAGAATCAAAAGGTGTGGTCACATCGAAAGGAAAAAAAACCGGGCACTGCTTGATAAGCACAGCTTCTCAATGTCTTTAAATCTATCTTTGAACAATTTTTTGAGGGTACAGAACTTGGCTTTGAATAAAGCAAACATTTCACAACATACTACTTTTGCCTAAAGCTCTTTCGTCTGAGACTCCTCAGAGCATAAAATGTCAAAATAAGGGGCGGAAAGAACACAATGGAAAATATATACCCAGATGAACATCGAATTTTATTGACTTGTCATATCTTACTAACTTGCATTTAGCAAGGTGTGCTAAATCTGGCAACTATGAGCAGCTGGTAACTGTGAAACCTGTTTCTTACGGCTAATACAGGTATTTTCCTGTGGAACCTGAAGACCAAGCTACTTATGAAATACTTATGAAATTGGTCATATCTAAAAATTTTTGTTCCAATATGTGTAAAAATATTGTATGCATGCAAAAATACATTCACATATACACTACTGTAAAAATGACGTATACAAAAAAAAGGAATAAATACTAAAAATGATCAAATGCAATGTGAAAGCAAAAATCAAGATTTTTGACAACAATATTAAAGCTTACAAAGTATTAAATCTAATAATCAGAGTAGTAAATTTTATCAATCTATATTCAGATTTATTGTTAGAATTTCGAACTAGAAATGGCTGAAAATTACTTAGAAGTCAACATACTGAAAAAATTTAGTTTAAAATAGGCTGTATACTTAAAGATATGACTCCATCCAGGATATAAAAATAGCTCTTTCAACATGAATGCGTACTGCTGCAATTCGGACTGTTTCTTTTGTTTCTTCTGCTGTTAGCTGAAACAAAAGTAATACAGTTTCTTCTGCTGTTAGCTGAAACAAAAGTAATACAGCCTGTCTGTGAGATTCCAACAAGGGCTTTCCAGGTGTTATGATGTTTGTACTGGGACCAGGTTTGCGACTGAGACTTTAGTGAGGATGGTATTTCAGTAAAAATTTTGGTACAGTCAATAATGATCCTCGTATTAGGATAATCTTTGAATTGCTGTGGCATATCTTTTTATATTCTTTCTTGAGATGGAAACGGAAGCCAAAAAGGAAGATTATGAAATAAAAAGTTAATCCAACTTGTGAAAATTTTTGAAGCATGTCCAGTAGAGATTCCAAATCCGTCTGATAAATCATAAATCATAAATAAACCAACTTTAAGTCTCATTAATACAAAAACAAATTCTTCTTATTGAGAAAGGCTGCGTTTTGGACCAGGTTTCTGAGATTGAGAGGACTGTTGACAGGAAAGATATGAAACCTTAGAAAATGTAGGCCCATGCCAGCAATGAATATGATCAAACTTTGGCTGGAAATACTCAAACAAGGTGAAAAGTGAAGAGAATTTTTGAAAGCCAGTATAAAATCTGACAGCAGCATCATCTTTTTCCAGTTTATCAATTGAGAAGAGAGAGCTTTTCAGCTGAGAAATTTGTTGTTCCAAGTCACCAATTTGTTTGTCTTTGTTGAAAGATGGTCATGCTGGCTACAAATATTAAAAATATCATTCTGGTGACGTGTAAAAGAGGAGTATTCATGGTCGCACTGCTTGTTTTGGTCATAGGAGGAAGGGATGTTTGCGTAAAAACTGTAGTTGATGGCGAAGCATCAGTTGATAATTGTAGAGAGGATCCCATTACATTAGAATCCAAGAGAGAAACATCATCATCAAAGATTGCAGTCACTGATGTAGAGGAAGAAAACGTACGTTCAGCTGGCGCATTGCGGGATATTCTCGGCAACCGATCGATGCTACTGAACAGATTTAAAGAACCTCTCTTCAGCTCCACTAAATTAAAGAACCTCTCTTCAACGGTACAGCTCCACTCTTCAGAAGCCACTGATTTGGAGACCTGCTGAGGTCCGTATCAGTAAAATGCTTCTCACAAAGGAATGTAGACAGTGTAACATCAAAACCGCCACAATTTTTGTTAATATTTTGTTTTGTTTGCAAAAAGTTAATAAAATGGTGGTTTCGTTGACATGGATTTTCATTTTCGTTTCCACGATACCATATTTGTTTTGCATGCTTTTCCACAGTAAAGAGGGCTGTCAAGCTCATGGGAAAAGAACTCAACAAAATAGGCCTTTCATGTCTTCGTGCAACTTTCACATTGAAGATATTCAGAGTAATTTTGGCGGTAAGCTATAAGCGGTGATTTTTGCCACAACTATGTCTGTGCTTTAAATCTGTGGAAAGACAAAGACCATTGGGAAAAATTATACATAAAAACAAGATACTTTTACAAAAGGCTATCCTCCTAAAAAGGGTGACATATTTATCAGAATAATAGTAAATATATATTCAAATATAAACCACTACTTGAATAAATATATATTCAAGTATTGATACAGAAAGCATAACCTGATACAGAAATTTAGAATTTTTAAGGTTATATTATAAGAAAAAGAAAAGTTTAGTCAAGATATTAAATTCCCCTCACCAAAGTATCCGGACAGTTTCGAATTCAGTTGGGAATCTGTTATTAGAGAAATTTGTTTACAAGTTTCAAAGTCAGTTTTCATGAAAACGGTTTTATCAAT